ACACAGGAGCAGGGAGGTAGCTCTGTCAGGCGGAGTGTGTAGTCAGTGTGGTTCCTGTCCACAAGGCTTTAGGTGTCTGTGGGAACTGGGCTATACCATGGCCTCCTGGGATTCCCCAGCTCAGGCAGTCTGTGTTCTAAAGCCTGGGCCCCATGGAGGATATGAGCTCTGGCTTCTGACTGCTACATTCTAATTCTGGATAACTGCTTCCCCGCCCCCCACCGTTCTACTATAAGTTTGATGGCAGTGGGTGCTATGATTCCAGGAAGTTGTAAGCTACTGCTGCAGATAGCATGCCCCATGGCTGTCACCCCCACTTACCCCTTATTTCATCTCCCGTGTCTAAGCTAGGCCACTGGCTGTGTCTCAGAATGCCACATACCGGCCTGTAGTCCCAGAAGGAGGTTGCTGCCATGGGACGGGGACACAGGTGAGCCCTTTATCACTGGGGCTGCCCACTTCTGCTGGTCACAGTGTCTGTTATGCTGGCCAGCCCTGTGAGGAGAAGGAAATGGGCAAGGGATACGGGCATGCATGCCACCTAAGGTGTGTATCGTACAGGAATGGTCTTGGAGGATGTCCCGGCCAGAGGCCGTGACTGTAGCAATGCACACCCTGAGTTCAGCTCGTCCCTGCCCCTACAGAGTGACACTGTTCCATGGAGGCAGTCTTGTTGAGATTGCCATCTGAGAGCCTCTTGCCTTCCAGGCTCCTCCTTTGGCGCTGCCTAGACAGGTTCCTCTTGGCAGGCCGTGCAGCCAGGACCCTGCTGTCCCCAGACCGCAGCCACTCCACCTTGAGGTGTGTGAAGATGTCTCTCCCTGTGGCAGGCTTGTGAGGCTTCTGTCTGGCTCCTACCCGATGCTCTGCCATCTGCTCACTTCCCAGTTGCTGTTGCCCCATCCCACAGTCTGTCTCCAGCTTGGACGTTTATAGTGGTTTGCCAGCTGTGCTACCCGTGGCAAAAACAGGGACGCTGTACTGTCCCTCTGTCACCTTCTGGGGCTCCCCATTGTTCCTGGAACAGAATCTGTTTGAATTCACCATGGTCTGTGGGGCCTTGAGTAACCTTCCGTCTAATTCAGTAGTGTTCTCAGACATAGGACATGTAGTCTCGCCCCTGGGCTTTTGCCGGGATGATGCCTGCCCGGAACACTCTGCCTCCTTGTTCTCATGACTGTAGAAAGCCTGTCTGTTGTGCCGGGGCTGGTTAACTACCCTTTTCCTTTCTGACCTGTGCTGTGCCCCTGTGGACAGTTGTGTGAGTTGGTCACACACTGTGTTGTCTTAAGTATCTGGATCCCGTTACTCAGTGTGACATCCCTGGAATCATCTAGTGTGGTTTATGTCATATCCTGTTTTTATTTTATTTTATTTTTCTTTTTCCTTTTGGCTAAGAAGCACTCTCATTGAATGGGCAGGCCATGCTGTTGGGCATTTCCACCGTGTGACCCCTGAGTTCTTTGGGCTCCTAGGAGTAGGATCACAGGTCCTCAGTGATTCTGTAGTTTGTGTGTCGCGTGTCGGGGACCTGCCGACTTGTTTTCCTAATTTGTTTTTGTTTTTCAAGCTGCCTTCGAACAAGGCTGAGGGTAGAAGATGTGAAAAGTGGGCTGGATAAACTCATAGAGATGGGGTCTCCAGTGGGGGTGTGGTCACCCGTGGGGGTGTGGTCACCCGTGGGGGTGTGGTCACCCGTGGGGGTGGGATAACCTATGGGGGTGGGGTAACCCATGGGGTAGGGTCACTCATGGGAGCAGGGACATTTCTGGAGGTGGGGCCACTTGTGGGGGGTCACCAGTGAGGGTGGGGTCACTCATGGGGGTGAGGTCATAGAGTCTCTAGCTTTAGGGCCACTCTGTGCACATGGGGGCACTGGAAAGGACTTGGTAGTGTGACCTTGGACCATGCAGCTCCTTTTTTCCTAGGGGATGCCCTGTGAAACCTGGGCCAGCCAGGCTGGGCTGAGGTATGAGGTTCCCCAGAGATAGCCTAAGAGGCAGCCTCTCTGCCTCCCCTACATTTCCACTGGCCAGGAGGGGAGGATCATCCCCACCTCCCAGCCTTCCTGTGTATCCCCAAAAGCAAATAATGGTTTTGAGGCCATCCGCAGGTGTTGCATGGCGCTGGACCACGTCACACAGGACAGTCACCCTTGGGGTGGGATTGCATTGCTGGTGCTGTGGGCTCGAGGTGTGGGGTAGACCTGTTTACCCTAGCCCCTCCCTCAGCAGCAGCTTGCCTCAGGCACAGGACAGCCACCTTGTTGGCCTCCACACACTCTGTTCATAAGTGTCATGTGACATGTCTCAGTTTGGAGCAAGGTAGTCTTGGTGAGCCAGAGTTCTTGGTAGCAAGTAACAGAAAGCCAGCCAGGGTGGGTAGAGCAAAGCCACGCCTGCCCGGGGGGCTCAGGGATGGCTGTCCGCTGGATTCGCAGGCTGAGTTATCTCTTATCCCTTTCTCTCTGCCGCAGGCTCACTTGTGCCTGGCGATGGTCTCCATGTCGCTGCAAACGGGCCTCATCGTGCACTGGCCCTGAGTGCTGGGCATGAGTTCACACTTTACCTAGGGTGTGGGGACTTAGGAGGCAGGCCTGCAGAGATCTTCTTGTCTACAGTTAGCAACTGTGGGTTTTTTTTTTTTTTCAGTTTTAAGGAATTTAGCCCAGGATTTCACAAATGCTAGGCAGGTACTGTGTTACTGAGCCATGCCCCTGCACAGGCGGTCACTGGAGATTGTAGGCAGACGTACTACCACTGAGCTGTATCCCCAGCCCTTTTTACTCCTCCCTCCTTGCCTCCCTCCCTCTGCCCCTCCCTACCTCCTCTCCTTCCCTTCCTCCCATTTTCTCCCCCCACCCCTTTCCCTTCTTCCTCTCACTCTGGCCCCGCTTGCTCCGGCCCGAAGTATGTATTCATGTATTTATTATATGTAAGTACACTGTAGCTGTCTTCTGACACCCCCTAAGAGGGCATCCGATCCCATTACAGATGGTTGTGAACCACCATGTGGTTGCTGGGAATTGAACTCAGGACCTCTGGAAGAGCAGCCAGTGCTCTGAACCACTGAGCCATCTCTCCAGCCCACTTTTCTTTTTCTTTTTTTCAGAAGACAAGCTTTCTCTGTATAGCCCTGGCTGTCCTAGATCTCACAACTGACTTTGTAGGTCAGGCTGGCCTCGAACTCAGAGATTTTCCTACCTCTGCCTCCCGCCACAGGGGTTAAAGATGTGCTCCACCATGCCTGGCTCCTTTTCACTTTTCGAGACAGGGTCTCACTTAGTTTCTCTAGCTGACTTTGAATTTGCAATCCTCCTGTCTCAGCCTGCTAAGAAAATGGATGAACAAGTCTGTGCACAGTGTTTGATTGTGTTGTCTTCTGATCCTTCTGCTTTGTGTGCTGCTGGGCCTCTGTGTGCCAGAGTTTGGTGTTGCTGCCACACTGGAGGAAAGGGACTGACTTTGAGGTGTGGCCTGGGAGGGGGCTGTGTTTCTGTGTGTGTGTGTGTATACACATGTGTGTGCGTGTGTGTGTGTGTATGTGTGCGTGGCGCTGGGCATATTTAGGAAGTATCTTACATTGGTGGCATCTCGTTGACCCTGAGGGGCAGGGACAGTGCCACCTACACTTTGGAAAAGAGAGTGCTAAGGTTCTGAGAAGGGACCGTACTCCCTGAAGCTATGGTTCTTGGCATGGTTCTTGGTCCAATGTTCTTGTGTTCATAAGTGTCATGTGACATGTCTTTTTGATGATAGGTTCTGTGTGAGCCAGAGTTCTTGGTAACAAGTAACAGAAAGTCACCCAGGGCCATCAGAGCAAAGCCACACCTGCCCAGGGTGCTCAGGGATGGCTGTCCACTGGGATCACAGGTTGACTTACCTGCTCATCCCTCAGCCAGTCACCGCCTCCCTTTCCTGACCATCTGATTGGCCATGCATGGGTCACGTGACTCTTCTTGGGTTCAGTTGGTGCACACTGGTAGGTTGAGTTGAGTAGGGACTGAATGCATAGAGTCAGGGCCTCCAGCTTGGGGAAGGGATTGGATCTGCAGTCTTCTCCCTCTGTGTTTTTTTTCCCTGCATGAGACCTGTCACTGTCTGACGTAGGCTTTCTGTGGCTCGGAGGACAGTTGTTACCAGTTAGCCCAAGAGGAAGGGCCGGGGTGAAACTACAGGGAGCTAGGGGTCTGGTCAGTCTCCTTGTCATCCTCCTGTATCATTGCTTGGGTAGAGCTCCAGCCTCAGCTCTGGGTGTAATGTGAAAGGGAGGGCCTTTAGGGAAAGAGAAGAAGGACCGTAGGGATGTCTCAGACTTTCCCACGGGGCCTCCCTGCTTCTGCAGTCTCTCAGTTCCCATTCTTGACAGCACTGGACTATTGTCATTGTTCTTCTTGTATTAGCCAGGGAGGTTCCTGCCTGGAAGGTAGCCTTTATCCATCCTGGACCTGTTTGTTGCTCAGGATGCTCGTGTCTGGTTCTAGCCATCCCTAGTGTGACCCTTAGCATCCTGTTCCCCGACTCCCAGTGGCAGCAGGCCAACCTCATCTGTGTCCTTTCCCTGGCTGAGGACCAAAGAGCAGCCAAGCAGCCTTGCTTAGCAACTGTTGTCACCCTGTGACCCATCGTGGGTCACTGCCGTGTACAGCTCTACTAGCACATAGCCCAGGGACAGGCCCAGCAGCTGTGAGCTGGTGCTGCCAGGGGCTTTTGAAGAACTTTGCCCTGGAGATCTGGAAAGTCCCAGCTATGGGATGAACTGGCTGACCAAGGTGGGTGTGGGAGCCGGCGGATGGCTGTGGGTATGGTGTCCATGCCAAGGCTCCCAAGCCTGATGGTTGAGGCCTGTCGAGTAGTGAGATGGCTTTTGGAGGCTAGGCAAGGTGTTGTGGCTTTGGGCTGTCATTGAAAGGAGGCTCAGGCAGGAGGAAGGACTAGGCCGCAGTGGCTGTGGAGCAGCTGCCTCCTGTTCAATTTGTTTTTTTTCTCTTCTCTCCACAGGCACCTGTGACGAGGTCACCTGCCAGCAGATGACCGAGACCAGCCCTTAGTCCTAGGTGTGGTCAAGAGTGTATTGGGCTCCAAAGCCTACCTGGACCCTACCACCATGTCAGGATCCACACAGCCTGTGGCACAGACATGGCGGGCTGCTGAGCCCCGCTACCCACCCCATGGCATCTCCTACCCGGTGCAGATAGCCCGGCCCCACACGGTAAGGGGCGTGTCTGCTTAGTACCACCTCAGCTACCGCAATGCATCTTCTGAAGCCAGGCCAGTGCGGCCTGTGTTGATTTGGTCTCAGTGGGGACACTTGTGGCAGCCAGGTGTGGTGATGGAGGCCTGTACAGTCTCAGGATTGAGGAGGTGAAGGCAGGAGGATTTCGATTTTGAGACCAGCTGAGGCTATGTAGCAGGTCTTATTTTAGTGTGGGAAGGTGGAAGCGGAGGCTAGGCTGAGTGGACGCACTCTGTTTCTATCTTGTGGACTCGGCTTGTACAATAGAGCGCCCACAGTGTGCACTCCCCTCACAGCGGGGCCCATTTCTGCTGTGTCTGGGCCTGGGGTGGTTTTGGGGAGGGAGACTGAGGTCGTACTTTTTCCTAACCCTCAAGGTCTTGGTGCCTCTTTAGCTGTAAGACTCTGAAGCCCAGAGCAGGGTCCTGTTTCTGTTCTCTTCGTACTGTAGAGCAAGCAGGCTAGGCCTTTGAATCATCTCTGTTGGCCTTTATTGTGTGCCTGTTATACCTCTCTGGCTGTTGAGTGAGGGAGTGTGATTGTGAGATGTAACAGTCACAGCTGGGTGGCAGTGTGTGTGTGTGTGTGAGAGTGTATGTATGTGTGTGTGTGTGCGCTCATGCATGTTGAGAGAAAGAGAGAATGTATGTGTATCTAGGCTCATTTCTGTCCCTCCTTGGTGGTGTGGTCCATTTCTGTGACAGAACTGTATCTGTGCGGGACATATTTCTACTTGTGAGTCAAGAATGCTTTCCCATGAGCCTCAGGGCCTGCCCGTAGGGTCCCATGTACAGTGGCTCTTCCAGAACAGAGAGCCTATGTGCAGAGCCAGCTATACCCTCTCAGAGTGGCAGGTCCTTGGATGGAACAGCTGGGAGGCCTGGAGAGGGAAGACAAGCCCTAACCATCATCCTGCGGCAGCCATGGCAGTGTTGGGGTCCTGTATATCCTAGCTCTGAGCCTTTATGTGGTAACGCAGCGACCATTTGTTTGCTGTTTGAAGCACTGAGTCGCAACCAAGCCAGCAGCAAGGACATCAGCTCTCCAGGCTGGCGAGTGACCTAGCCGTGTCAGTTAATATGGGGGAGGGACTCTCAGTTCTGTCACCTATAAAGCAGGAGTGACAGCAACACCCACAAGGATGCCTACGCATGTCCCCATGTGACTGTCTGCTGCCACCATAACTTGATACTGTTAAAGCCATTTCCTGGATGGGGCCTTGCCTGGGGTCCTACCATCTCTTTCCCCTCCCCCTCCCCTCCCCTTGCCCCCATCCCAGTCCCCCAGGCAGAGCAGATGTCCTCCTTCATTCATACTGCTTATCCACTCTCAGTGTGGGCCCAGCCTCAGGGAGCCCTCTGGCTGCTGTGGCCCCTTCCCTTGTACCTGACTCCTTGCTCTTTGCCCCATTTGTGTCCTCTCCCCAGCATTTAGGGTCACTGGCTGACCCCAGGCACCTCCCACTCTCCTGCTGGGCCATTGGTGACGCAGGATGCTGCTGGTTGGGACCCAGTGGTTACTAACCCCTCTGGGGTGAGTGTGGCCTGATGGGATAGCTACAGGTTGGAACATGTCTGTGCCCCGGTGGGGCCCACGTGCTCCTTTCCAGGGAACCTGCTTGCTCTTTGGCCTCCAGCCCTTGCTGGGCCACCAAGCAGGGCTCTGCTGCTCCCCAGGGTCTGTGGAGGGTTCCTCTCCGGGTGGATATTGAGGCCCCATTACTTTTCTGTGCCGGCTTGGTGACTGTCTCACAGCCCCTCCGCCACCCTCTCCCTCAGGGGCCTTCGCTAGCCCTGACCTTCCTGCAGCCTGCCCTCTCAGCCCGCCCACCCTCATTTCCCCAGCCTTCCCAGTCCCCCCCCCCCCCCCCCCACACTGTACCCCATCTCTTTCCCGTGGTCCAAGGGTGGGTAGAGCAGCACAGACCGGAAAAGGTCACTTGCTTTCCCCTTAACACTTGTTAATCTCTTAGGAGAGAGAGGGCAGAGAAGGGGAGCCGTGGAGCCATGGCAAGGTGACACCCTGTAGGAGAGCACATCGTCTCGGGGGTTACCATGTGTTCTAGCCCTGGTGCGGTGACCAGCTCAGTGTGTGGTGTCCTGGTCCCGGGGGACATGATGTCTGGGTCTGGGCCACTTCCATACTCTAGCAGGCCTGTCTTCCCGGAAGTCCTGCCCTCTCAGTCAAGCGAGCTGCTTATAAAATGGCTGGGGTTCTACTGAGGTGACATCATGCTTGGGCCATGAGCTGGTCTCTGTGTGATGTGACAATAGGGACGGCAAGTATGAGGACCCCCCTGCCTACAGCATCAGACTGTTAGTCCCCTCACGTCATCGGGAGTAACATGCTTTCTGTAAGCAACAGGCCTCACTGCCCAGACCCTACAGTTTGTCTCTCTTCCCTGCCTCCATGCTGCTGGCAGTGGGGTGCAAAGAGCCACGTACCCGCAGGTCAGTGCCTGGCAAGGTGCGTGCCAGGGATGCCTGACAAAGTTGGCTGTGCCTAGCCTTGGCCTTGGGCCTAGCTGGCTGACTCGTGGCTGTGGGATGGACCTGTGGGCTGTTTCCAGTTGGTCACGAACTCTGCTGGGCCACACAGGGCTCAGCCTGCTCCTTTCTAATGGCTCTGGATGCTGGCTGCGGCTGATGACCTGGGTGTGTGGGCATAGCGTGAGGTCCTGCGCTACCTGCACATGTTACACGTGTACTGCCTTAGGGTCTTCATCCGTCTAGCCATCCATTCATTAGCTCACAGTCTCGGTCATTGGCCTATCTGCTCATCCATCCACTCATTAATGAATTCGCTCGTTGATTTGTTTGAGAAATGCAGATTAGGTGTGTCACGTGCCAATTTCCAAGCCTTGGAGGCAGAGCTGTGAAGGTGGAGACACCCTCTCACTTTGGGGAGTTGACATTCTCTTGGGGGGACAGTGAGTAAAGATGAGGCTAGCAGAGGCCATATTTAAGTGGAGAGCCAAATACTGATATTGGAGCTGGGACCCGAGAGGAGGGACAGGCAGGTGCATGGCGTCCGGATGCGCAGTGCTCAGGCTGAGCCAGAGCCCTGACGCGAGGGTCTGTTGGAGTGAACACACTGTTCAGGAGTGAGCGGTGAATCCGGTGTTCACAGGGTTTGGCTGAAACTCTGCCTCCGTATGATCTCCTGCGACCCTCTACTTCTTAGACTTGTGCTGGGGTACAGTGTGTTTCTTGGGGGCTTTCCACTTGTACTGTTTGTAGTGGAAATATCTGGGGGCTGGGGTGGGCCTCTACTCCTGAGTCAGGTGTTGTAAATCACCCATGGGACAGCCTTAGGGTCGGTGACCTATGACTGTCCCAGTTCCCTGTGGAAGTGCCAGTTGAGCCTCACCCTGCAGAACCTGTGCTGTCCTTGCTGTGTGACCGGGAAGGACTGTTCTTCTCCCTGGGCCCATCATTCTCTTGATGTTCAGACTGCCCTCCATGTGGCTGCCTTGGGGGGGGGGGCGGTGACATTAGTCATCTCGTGCAGAGGGCTTGGTTGCGGCGACCTGAGTATGGGATCCTTTCTCTTGAAGTCATCCTTGCAGGGCCATCCTGGTAGCCCTGTCATTCTCCTGGGTCCTGTTTTGCGAGGTCTTGATTGCCAGACCCTTCCCTTGCAGTTTGGTCTCTGAGATTTTCCAGTCGCTCGCCGTCTAGGGGCAGGACACCGGCTACTTTCACATCCTCGACGCGCCTGACAGCTGCCATCAATTCTTTGCAATAAGAACTGCTTTAAGATACAAAGCCAGGGGCTGAAGAGATGCCTCAGCTCCTCAGTTAAGAGCCTGTGCTGCTCTTTCAGAGGATCTGAGCTCGGTTTCAAGCACCCACAATTGACTGCTGCTTCTAACTCCAGGGCATCCAGCGTCCTCATGTTCTCTCTGGCTTACATGGGCACTACACACAGAGACATACACACAGACACATAATTAAAGATCAAATGAAATCTACAACCAAATAAAAAGGACTCAAAAAGGAGAAGAAAATAGGCCAAAGGAAAACTAAGTTACCTATAGCCCACACTGTCTGCGGCCATACCCAAGTCAGACATTACTAATCGATCGCCGTGCATGTAACCAAGTGTCCAGGCTAATAGAATAGATCGATTGGCATGGTACAAGGTGGAACCTTGTCTTTTCTTTTTTTTCTTTTTTCTTTTTTTCTTTTTTTTTTTAAATTAGAGATGGTGTACACGCTCGCTGTCTCCTCTCCCACGTCCCTCATTTTCCCACAGCGATAAGGTGATCTTGGTCCTTGTGAAAAAACGTTAAGAAGGTTTTATGTAGGGGTTGGTGGGATCCAGGTTAAGACTGAGGATGCCAGTGGGCAGCGAGGGAGCCTGGCACCGCGGTGAGACTTTGAGGTTGGGGATTTATCAGCCGTGTTGACTCCCCTGCGCTCTGGCTGCAAAGGGGAGGCTAAGGTTGAGGCCTCCTCCGCGGACCGTGACGACCCAGGTGTGGTCAGAAATCACAGCATTGTTCAGAGCGGGAGGGTGTAGCCTGCCTCTCCCCCTCCCCCATGCTTCATAAGCTAGCTGGTTTTCTCGTGGTGGGCAGGGCTCCTGAACGGTTGGCTGACTGGGACCTGGGTTTGCATAGCCCCATCTGCGCTGGCTCTGCAGTCCTTCCCTCCCCTTCGTGCCGGAGCCTGACTCTCAGGGCGATACCTGTCCAAGGATACCTGGGTCTGTCTGTGGGCCATGCTCACCAGTGCCCTGCTAGGGCAGTTCCCAGCCCCGTGTCAGTGGGCAGGGTCTGGGAGAAGGTGACACATTCTTCTCTCTAAACCTACAGCTGGGTGGTGTGGGTTGTGGAAAAGTGGGATTTGCAAGCTGACCGTCCAGCCTGTGGCTTTAGAGGGCCTGTGCTTCTCCCCTCCCCCCACCCCCTCGGGCACACCGGCTGGAGAGTGTGGCAATACAGGAACACCACAGGTCCCAGTGAGCCCTGTGTGGAGATGTGGGGTCCAGTGTCGTGGTTTATCACACTCTTCTACGTTAAAAAGAGTACCTTGTAGCTACAGGGCTCTCTCTAATCATGGTGGGACCATCGCGGTAGCAATTGGAGCTAGAGGACACAGACTGGGAACTCATCCGGGCCTCTTGGTGCAGGGTGGCAAGGAAGCTGCCATTGCACCTGCGCTTGCTCACTGCTCCCTTTCTTCCACAGGACGTGGGGCTGCTTGAGTACCAACACCACCCTCGGGACTACACCTCACACCTGTCACCCGGCTCCATCATCCAGCCACAGAGGCGGCGGCCCTCATTGCTGTCGGAGTTCCAGCCTGGGAGTGAACGGTGAGCAGAAGTTGCGACTTTTTTGACTAGGCTGTGGTGTCTCTGAGGTAGATAACAGAGACTTTTTGTGGGTAAAGCTGCAGGGGTCCAGACTTCAGCCCTTCCTAATGCCACTTACTCCTGGTGGCATCCTAGGGCCATGACAGGGGTGTACTCTCCCAGGAGCAGGGCAGTAGGTGGAGAAGGCAACTGTGACCATCTACATAAGGTTGAGGAGAATGGTTAAGAGCAGAAGGCGGCTCACACTCTCCACCTGTTGGCTAGATCAGGTTTAGTAGCAGGAGTGCTGTGATCAGCTAGTGATGCCTGCCCAGGGAGGTGAGAAGGAATAGTGTTGTGTATGCTGTTTTTTGCATAAACCTCATGGTGCTTCTCAGTCCTGTGCTTTAAAACCCCCAGGGGTTTGTTAAAATGTAGGTCTTGGTAAGGAGCAGTAGGGTGGGTCTTACGTTTTGTATTTCTGGTTAGCTCAGAAGGGACTGTGGAGTCTTCAGGCCGCAATGAGTGGTTCAGGCTGGGTAGTCACAACAAGGCCTCATGAGTCAGAATCATGTCCCCTCCTGTCAGGGAAGAGAGGAACCTTCTAACAAGGCTCCTCATGGGAACCTGGCTAGGTAGACACCTGGAGTCTTGAATCTCAAGCTTCTGTCTCCTGTGTGATGTGTGTTCCTGGCCTCCCACAGGTCTCAGGAGCTCCACCTGCGCCCGGAGTCTCGCACCTTCCTGCCTGAGCTGGGCAAGCCTGACATAGAATTCACAGAGAGCAAGCGCCCACGCCTGGAGCTCCTACCTGATACCCTGCTGCGCCCGTCACCCCTGCTGGCCACTGGGCAGCCAAGTGGGTCTGAAGACCTTACCAAGGTATACTCCAGCCAGGCCTATGGGCTCGTCCACTGCTGCCGCTGCTGGTGTGGGCAGGAATGGGGCTGGGGGCCGAGGCAGGGAAAGGCCGGGTGGAGGGATGGGGCCGAGGCAGGGAAAGGCCGGGTGGAGGGATGGAGGACAGCTCTGCCGTGAGTGTGAGGGTGGGACTGTGTACTAGAGCTGCCGTCAGGTAAGGAGAGAGGGTGTGGGTGACGGAAAGAGTTGGGACGGTATCTCTAGCTGGCAGGAGTGTACGGACCCTGAGGCAGGACCTGGCGTGTGCCTGTATTCGTTGGCTGGTATGATTGGGAAGTGGAGGGTGAGGGTTCTGCGAAGCCTCAGAGCAGAGGGTTGGGGGGCCGATAGGCATAAGATCAGCTCCTGTGTCCACGTTAGCCCGTTCCGTGTGCCCTATGGGTGCTGGGCTGCATAGGTGACAGCTTGTGTAGATCAATGACTTGGGACTCCTCAGGCTTCATGTAGCAGACTGGACAGCCAGGACTGCCCCATGTTTGAGCAAGTGTTCAGGAAGGGGACTCTAGAGTCCCTTGAGATGAGTCAGGATGGACGGTGCGTATGTCAGGACCTGGAGTTGAGGGCCTCAGGCGGACTGACAGGCAGATCTGCTGCTGCCCAGGTCTAAATGGCTCCTTGGGTGCCAGGTGGGCTGAATGGGTCTACATCTGTAGCCGTGTGGGCTTGAGGAGCCCCAGAGCAGTGTGAGGCCAAGCCCTGTCTCCATGGAGGCTGCCTACACTCCTTGTCTCGGCTTAATCCCATGTGTTCACACACACTGGTGTACTAGAGGAGGAACTCTGGGCCTTGTCCACGCTAGGCCAGCCCTCTACCACCAAGCTGCATCTTTAGACTTCTTTTAATATACACATGTATGTATATATATTACTTGCCCCTCCCCCAAATAGGGTCTTGCTAAATTCAAGCTGGCCTTGAATGTACTCTGTAGCCTGGGCAGGCTTTAAAATTAAGACTTTGCCTAAGCCTTGCATATAGTTCTGAACAGTTCCAGTGACAGGCCTGTGACTCTGAGCCAGGATTGCTCTGCCTTCTGTCTATCTCTAGACCCCACTTTGTTCCAATGGTGCTGCCCCAGGCTCGGGCCATTCTGAGCCCTGCTTCCTCCTTGTTAGTCAGTTGCAGACCAACCCTAAGTGACCCAGGTTATCTGGATAGAGAGTTTGGCTCTGAGCCTTGCATACACACCTTCAAGGCTAGAGCAGGTGACAGGACCAGACTCCAGTCTCCATAGGAGAGTAAAGATGTTGGCATGATTTCTGGAATGTTCTTGGCGTGTTAGTGCTATAGAAGTCCAGCCCATTCCCAGTGCAGTTCAGCTGTTCAGCTGCAGTGACCTGTCAGGTGACCTAAAGCAGGCACCAGGATGTCAGGGGACATATGGCCTTGTTTCCCGGACATTGATTGGGGTATCCTCATTCTCTGCCCTAGACTGTCCCTGGGAAATAGGTCAGTTCCAGACTGACACGTCATCCACCTTTGGCAGCTCTCTCTCTTCTGCTGCCCCAGGACCCCTCCCCCTTTCTCTTCTACCCACTTAGCCCATGAGCCAGCTCCCATATCCTGCCATGTAGACACCAGATCTAGCCACTGCCTACCCTATGTTGGCCTCAGTTGCCCCAGGCCACCGTCACTCACCTAGACTGTGACAGTGGCCTCTCACCTTTCCTACTAACCTCTCTTTACCACTAGGTCATGTGGGGACAGGCAGGGTCTTGCTTTGATCCCAAACCTCCTTTCTCAGGCATGAAGGTCTTGCTTTTTCAAGTGTTTGGCCATCAGGTCTGGTGTGACCGAACACTAATGTAATCTCTCCATCCCAGTCCCCCATGTATCTTTGTGTCTTCTTAAACCTGGCCTGGCTCCACCCCTAGACCCCGACCCTGCTGGTGTGCCCCTGATTGCCCTCTGTTCCCTCAGAGGCTTGCTGGACTGATGGCAGTGTGGGTACCCAAGGCTGTCTGCGAGCCCCTGGTGGGATGGCATGAAGTCTGGGCAGGGAACTCTGCTGACCACACTGGGTCTGGACTTGGGACAGCTGTGGCCACTGGGCTGTCCTCCTGCAGTGCTGGGTGACCTTCTCCCTCTGTCTTCTATTCTCTGGCATCATCTTCTTGCTCAAGTGTTATTCCTTCCTCCCCACCATCCCTTTTGTCCTGTGCTCGCCCCTTTTCCCTCCCCTTCCCTCTCATGCTGTCTCTCTGCTTGATCTTCTTCCAGCTCCAGTCATCTTTGTCCCTTTGTGCCTATCCATCCCCCCCCCCCCCCAGCTGCCCAGTCCAGTCACCATCCAGCTTCTCTGCTTGGTTGCCATATACCTCCCAACAGCTGCCCCGTCCATCTGTCTGTCCATCCATTCATCTGTCTGTTCTCAACTGTTCACATTTGTCTATCCATCCATCTGTACTGTTCATCTATCCCCCATCTCACTGTTGTATCAGGATGGCCATTTCCTGGATGGCCAGAAAGAGCTATCTGTGTGTTCAGTCTAAGTGCCTGCCATGCCTTTAATGCTGTCAGGAAGCTGAGAGTGACATCTGATCACTATATGGGGGACTAAGGACCGGGCTTGAGATGGGGAGTGACCACACAGGACAGTGGAATGGGGTTTTTCTCCTGTCTGTACTGTAAGCAAATGAGTCAAACATCCCCAGGCTAGGTGGGGGCCGTTTTGGGGTGGCCGTCAATGAGAGGCATAGCCAGGAAGGCTACAAGGATGATAGGCTAATACCCAGTGTGCACCTACAGAGTCTGTCATATACCAAGGTCTTCCCAGCACGGTGGAGGCAACCTAGGACATCTCTGTTTGGAGCTATGGCTGAGAGCTAAAAGTGGGGGATGGGATTCAGGTAGGCACCTCCTCCGGGAGACTCTTCCCTGCCCTAGGTCCTCTGTTATCCCTGAACCTCTCTCCCTGCTTCTTAGAAAGCAGGAAGGGCTGTGCATGGTAAGCCTTCATCAGTGATTAGTAGACAGGTGGTTGTCTCAGGACCAGTGCTGGTCTGGGTTTTTTGTATCTCCATAGGAACCTGTCAGCCTCTGCTGTCACTAGCTACCTGCCACAGTGTCCCAGGTCTGTCTAGCCTGTAGCTCTTCTGAGGGTTTTGTCCTCACTGTCACCAGTGAGGCCACCTGTGGCTCAGGTGTTCTGGTACCCTGTGTTAATTAGGGGTTGCCATTGCTGTAATCAAACACCATGACCAAAAGCAGCTTGGAGAGGAAAGGATTTATTTGGTTCTCGGGTTCACATCACTGTTGATTAAGGAAGGAAGGAAGTCGGGACAGGAACTCAAACAGGGCAGGAACCTGGAGGCAGGGGCTGATGCAGAGGCCACAGATGAATGCTGTTTTCTGGCTCGCCCAGTTCTCAGAGAACTGAGGATCACCAGCCCAGGGGTGGCATCATCCATAATGGGCTGGGTCCTCCCCTATCATCACTAATTAAGAAAGTGCTGTACACACAGGCTCGCCTACAGCTCAATCTTACAGAGGCGTTTTCTCAGTTGAGCTTCTCTCCTCTCAGATGGCTGTAGCTTGTTTTAAGTTGATAATAAAGTTAGCCAGCCCAGCTAATCCCTTGTCAACCCGACATAAACCCGTCACCGTTGAGCCATAACCTTTCCTTTCTTGTTCTTCCCCGAGGTCACACATTAGTAAAGACATCACACTAGAAAACATTTTACAGACTTAAAAAGCCCCACAGCCTTACAAATTCAAACACTCTAAAAGTACTCTTTGTAAAAATATCAGTCTTTTAAAACTCAAGATCTCTATAAAACTCTCAAATTTCATTTTTTTAAAGTTTAAAGTCTCACAGTGGTGAGCTCCTGGAAAATAAAAAATAAGTTAAATAATTTCTTACTTCAAGAGGGAAGAAATAGGGCACAGTCACCATCAGATTGAAGAAAAACCCATGTCACAGTATAAATCAATACGGGATCCATTCGTGATCTCTGGGCTCCTCCAAAGGGCTTGTCCTCTAGGCGCTGGCAGGCTCCACTCCCTGCTGCGGCTCTTCTTGGGGTTATCCCATGATACTGGCATTTCCAAAACATTGGGGTTTTCTGCTGCAACTGGACTGCACTGTCACCAATAGCCTCCCCTGGGCTCGCTTCATGGTGCCATACCTCAGCTTCTCAGCATGGTCCTTTCAGTCCTGGGCCTTCAGCTGCCACTGAGGCTGCACCTTCACCAGTGACCTCTCCTCAACTCTCAGAGTACCTAATCCTAGCTTCCTGCCTTCATGACCACTTCATGTCTTTAAAACCAGTGCCACCTGGGTGACTCTTACATTACCAAGTTTGGCTCGAGAGCAAGGTACAACAACGATGGCTGCCTCTGGAACATATAGCATCTGTGTGCTAGATCTCAGGAAACACTTCTTAGAAGATTTCACCTCAGTGATGCAGGTCTCGTTCTTAGCCACTGCTGATGTCTTACCCCAGATACCCAGCATCAGCTGTCCAAGTAAAACAAAGGTTTCATTTCAGTGGTGCTGGCCTCTCGTTAAATCATGGCTACCTCTTCAGTCCTGGCTGACCAGACACCACAGTCTTAATTCAAAATAGCAAATATCAACATCCCCGACAGTCTCAGTGTAGCTCTCAGAATTCCCTCTGGAGCTCCAGGAGCCAGGCCTCCGTCATCTTCAGTTCTCTCAACGTTGTTTTTCTTCCATGTCTTCACAGAATAGCTCAATGAACTTTAAGCACTTGGTGGCTTTTCTTGCCCAGAGTTCTGAAATCCTTCTGGAATCCTCCCCCAAAACAACACAGTCAGGTTTCTCACAGCACTGTCGCAGAATTCTGGCACCAATATCTGTGCTAGTTGGGGTTCCTTTTGCTGTGACGAACCACCGTGACCAAAGTAACTTAAGGAGGAAAGGGTTTATTTGACTTACGTGTCCAGTCACTGTTCATTAACAAAGGAGTCAGGGCAGAAACTCAAACAGGGCAGGAAGCGGGAGGCAGGAGCTGATGCAGAGGCCATGCAGGGGTGCTGCTTACTGGCTTTCTCATCATAGCTTGTTCAGTCTTTCTTATAGGACCCAGGACCACCAGCCTAGGGATGGCACCACCCACACGTGAGCTAGACCCTCTCCCATCAGTCCCCAATTAAGAAAATGCTCTACAGACTTGCCAACAGCCTGGTCTTATGGAGGCGTTTCCTCAGTCAACGGTCTTTCCTCAGATGACTGTAACTTGTATTGAGTTGACATAGAACTAGCCAGTGCGGACACACACCTTTAGAATCTCTGCCTCGTTTCTCTGCTTCTCAATCTGTTTCTGCTTGATTGTGTGGTTCTGTTTCGGACTGTCCTTCACTGACTCTGCCTCTCACCTTCCCACCATCTGTCCCTCTCTCCCCTCCCTGGGCCCCGTCTGGGCTGGAGCCAGGCTCCAGGGGGACTGGGTGGGTAAGGAGGGAATGTACACAGCTCTGAGCAACTGCGGTTTGTGAGGAGTCCAACTGGCGGCAGGAACAGGGGTTTTAGGGGGAGTTTCTGGCCCCCCAACATTTGGCAGTGCCCTCCTGCTTGGGCTACCCAGTGCCTTGGCTGTTAATTGAGCTTTGTTTTAGGGGATTTGGGGATGTCGCTGCAGAACTTTCTCTGAAAGGTCCTTGGGTGGTTGGGGCCTGGGACACACCAGCTTAAGCACAGACCCTGAACTCTGGTTCCTATAATAAAACCCAGGTTTGATAGCTTCTGGCTGAGCCCAGCCCTGGTGGCTGACATCACCATGGCCCATGCTGCTTCTTGGAGTGCTTGAATGACAGCAATATGTGACTCTGGGAACTCCCACCTCTGCTGTTCCCCTGGCTCTAGCCTGGAACCTGCCACTATGGCTTCTTGGCCACAGGCTTCTGCTGGAACTGGAAGAGATCAGCCTTCCCATTCCCAGGCCTCTTGTGACAGAAACCGAGCATTTCTTATTGCTGCCTTGAAGCCTTTCTGCCTAGGCACAGGACTGCAGAGGGTGACCAACTCAGTGGAGTCTGACTAGTTGGCTGGAGTGAGTCTATCTGACTGGCTGACAGACTGACCCGGAGAGCATGACTGACTGACTGGGAAGACTGATTGACTGACTGACTGACTGACTGACTGACTGACTGGGGAGAGACTGACTGACAGACTGACAGATGGGTGGATGGATGGAAAAGTATCTGACTGGCTAAGAGAGTCAGGGGAGAGAGCTAAATTGCTGCCTGGTTTCTGGTTGGCCTTAGGGTTTGTCTGTCCTCAGGCTTGGGACTTACAGAAGGAGAGAGTCACCTGCAAGCAAAGTCACCTGCCACTTAGAGGCTAGCCTGTCAGATGCCCCCAGTGTATCTTGGCATGCCAGGCGCCATCTTTCCTGCCCTTGGCTCGCCGTCTGTGAAGCCAGTAGTAGGACAGTGAGGAGTCAGGGTTTCATCCCTCCAGAAAGTGGTCTTCCATCTGTGAGGGAGCCGTTTGTATGGCTTCCCCCAGCCCTGCAGGCCGTTGTGGTGGTTGGATTCTCCCTGTCTGGATGTTTCTGTGATTGTGTTTCACCGTCCATGGCCTTTGTTCTTGTGCCTTACTATGTGGGAGCCTTTGTCTCAGAAAGGGGACCTGCTGTGTGTTTGTACACCATCGGGGGGCCTGGGTTAGGTCCTAACTGTGTCTGATCTCAAGGATGAACCACCATGAAAGAGCCTGATCTAGCCAGTCCAGGAAGTGGGGCTCAGCCACATGGAGTGGCTGGGGTTGCCAGCTGCATTTTCTGTTGCTGTCCCAGACTTGGGGACAGAGCCTTCTGTAGGTGTCATGGTTTTGGAGCCCATCCTGGATTGCAAGAAGTTTGGTCCGTGGTTTCAGGTTGCCTGGTCCCGCAGCTGACACCTTTACTCTAAATCTGGTTTTCTCTCTTCTGCTTTTGGGGAATAGAGCAGAGGGGACAATATGATCTCTGGGCTCAGGGCATCATACTCGGTGCCACTTTCTGTTTGGAGATGAATATTGAGAGTTTCCTGGAGGTGTCTGCTGGAAGGAGAGCCTGAAGTCCCCAGTGTGCCTCTGTCCTTACGTTTTAGATGATAGCATGAGGCCAGGGGCAAAGTACTGGGCTGAGAGCAGACAGGGAAAGGGAAGGGGACAAATGGAAGTTGTAGGCTCTTGTAGTTGCAAGGGTGATGGGGGTGGGGGTAGGTGGGGCACCTGGCTGCCCAGGCTGCAGTTGTTCCCAGGAATAAAGCGTCCTGTGTCCTTAGAGTGCAGCTGTGTGGGGGTGGGGAGCAGCCACCGACTTTGCCTGGCCACGACTTTGCCTGGCCACGACTGCCAGCAGCTGCTGTCTTGGCCCAGAGGGGAACAGGGTGGGGCTGACCTAGCTGGGAACCAGGGTAGGGACAGGCCTTTCTTGACAGTGCTATTATTCAGTGATAACACAGTGTGTCAGACACTTGGGATGCCCCGAGGCTCACAAGCCACTGTGGAGGTGAAACTATTCCTGTATCTTTTCCCCATTATACAGATAGGGACACTGAGGCAGACAGCACCTCCGTGTACCATCTGTGGTCACGGAACTGGGGGTTGCAGGGCAGGGCTGGGATTGGAGCCCAGGGCTATCTAGATGAGAACTGGGTTGTTTTCCTAACCTCTTTGTTGAGAGCATCCCAGTGCAGCCTGGGTGGTCCCTGACTAGCTAGAGAACAGAGAGAACTGTGGAGCAGCCAGGTGCAGGGCCCTGTGGGAGATGACACGGGCAGCCTCAGGGAAGAGCAGCCTGCTGAAGCGGACAAATACCCATCAGTGAAAAAGAGCCCTGTGTGGCCGTGCAGATCATACCCCACTATGCGTGAAGCGGAGACAGGAGGATCTGAAGTTCAAGGACACCCTGGGCAACATAGGAAGAGATGGCTTGCCACTAGGACCACTTGCAGGAGACCTAGATCTGGTTCCCAGCGTCCACATGGCTTGCCACTGTCTTAACCCCAGTTCCAGGGGTTCCTGATCTCCTCTTTTGACCTCTAAAGGGACTAGGCGTGCATGTGGTGCAGATGCATACGTGTAGGCAAAACACTCATAAATCTTTAAAAGGTTGAAGGTAACAAATGGCTTGGCAGTAGGTCTGTGGTGGAACGCTCGCTTAGCATGCAAAAGGGTTCCATCTCTTCGCTCTGCAGAAAAAAGCGAGGCCTGGTGACCCCGCTGGCTCCTATGTGTTGTGACAGGTGTGTTTTCTGAAAAGCTGACTGCTCCGGTTCAGAGGCTGCAGTCTGCTGGCCTAAACCATCGTACACATGTGGAGGACATATGCAGCTGGGCTGGGGGGGGCGGGGGTCACTGTGGGAGTCTTATTTCTCTTCCTGGGGAATAGGAGAGGTGTAGCCAGGAGGAGGCAGTAAGGACTGTTATTACTCCCTGTGAGGCCGACCGACCATGGGGATGCTCAGGGCAGGAAGTTGTGTGCTGCGGCCTGAGGTCACGGCTGGAAAACAAGCGCCCGGCTAACTTGGGTGACCACACTCTCTTTGTCTGTCCATCCACAGGACCGTAGCCTGACAGGCAAGCTGGAGCCTGTGTCGCCTCCCAGTCCACCGCACGCTGACCCTGAGCTAGAGCTGGCACCATCTCGGCTGTCCAAGGAGGAGCTGATCCAGAACATGGACCGTGTGGACCGTGAGATCACCATGGTGGAGCAGCAGATCTCCAAGCTGAAGAAGAAGCAGGTGAGTAGGGAGAATGGGAGGGGCCCCAGTGAGAGCAGGAGTCTGGCCTCACATCCTCAGGTGCCTGGAGCCATGCAATTTCCTGGTGTTTTTTGTTTTGTTGTTTGTTTGTTTAGGGTGTGTGTGTGCTCGCGCCTGTGCGGGCCTGTGCGGGCCTGTGTTTTATATGTCTTGCTTCTGGAAGCCTCTGGGCTGGGTACCTCAGGCTCATACATCTGTATTCCCAACAGAGAGGCCAGAGCTTCCGGGGACCATGAGCTGCCCAGGGCAGAGAAAGAGGTTTAGGCTGTTCTTGCATGAGAAACTGAATGGGGATCTGGGAGCTGGGCAACGAGAGCTTCCAAGATGGTGGTCCAGGATCCCAGAGCGAGGCTAGCCCTTGGTATGGTCGGATCTTCCATCCTCCAGGCCTAGCTTGGGGACTGGGCCGGAGCCACTGTTACATGCATGGATGTTGATCAAGTCTGGAGGCCGAGTGACTTGAGCTGTTGTTATTGTTTTGTTATTTTTTTCCTCTTTCTTACCTAAATTGATTTTTAAATGGTATCTTATAAAAGAATTTTTTTTTTTTTAATATACTAGGTTGGAGAGATGGTTCGATGGTTAAGGCCATATAATTGTTCTTGCACAGTACCCAGGTTCAATTCCTATCACCCACATCTGGCAGCTTACAACTGCTTATAACTCCAGCTCCAGAGGATGCCCCCAACCTCAGGCACAGCACATAGACCGATGTACACACACATACACGCTGTAAATACGTACTAATAAAAATATTTTAAGAAAATAAAATACACTTCCTCATTTTTGTGTGTGTACATGTGGATGCTAGAGTAGTCTGTGGGAGTTGGTTCTCTCTTTCCATCTTGTGCTTTGTCAGCTTGTGGTGGGTTAACCTGCCCCCCACGCCCCTCTATTTTTGAGACAGGGTTTCTCTGTGTAGCCTTGGTTGTCCTGGAACTCACTCTGTAGACCAGTCTGGCTTCAAACTCAAAAAGATCTGCCTGTATCTGCCTTCCAAGTGCTGGGACTAAAGGTGCGTGTCACCACTGCCTGGCTCAGCACCCCCTTTTTTGGGAGGGGGAATGGGGGAAGACAGGGTCTTTCAGACGCTGGCTGGCCTGAAAGTCATTAGCAGGCTGGTCTTGAACTCACAGAGATTTTCCTGCTTCTGACCTTTGAGTGCTGGGATTAAAGGAATGCACCACCATGCCTGCCCCACCCCTTTAAATACATTTATAAGTTTTGATGTATGTGTCGCATGTGTGTGTGTATGTTGCGTGTGTGTTCAGGTGCCTAGAGGCCCAGATGAGGACTTCAGACATCCTGGAGCTGGAGTTACCAGGTAGTTGTGAGCTGTTCAGCTTGGGTGCTGAGAACCGAGCCCAGGTCCTTTACAAAAGCAGTACACACTCATAACCAGTCTCTCCACACGCCCCGCCCCCAAACTAAAATTCCCAAGCTTAAACAAATCATTTTAAAGTTTACAGTTCACTGGCAGTGGACCTCAGTGTATGTCTCTCACTTCCTCCATTGTCCCGACAGACACAGAGCCATTTAGCGGTCTCCCGTCTCCCAGCCCAGAGTCACCCCTTGTGACAGTCTGTGGAGCCACTTTCTGGACACCTCACATACAGGGCCTCACATTTATTTGCCTTTTGTGTCTCTGCCTTGCCACAGGGCATAGTTGAACCTCGTTATGGGAAAGTGGTATTTGACCGTGTGGCCATAGTATGCCTTGTCGTGTGGTTGAGTGACTGCTTCTGGTTGTCCGGCCGCTCGCTCACCCACTGTTCATGAGGGTGGCAGCTCTTCCCAGTTCTCACCAGTGGTGTTTCCAGATTGTACTGGCGTGGGGCTCATCACCGTGACTGTGTAGTGTGTGGTTGAGGATTGCGTGAAGCCGGGCTCCTTACAGCTCTGTGCTCACCAGGACTGTTGTGCAGTGCGGGTTTTGGATCTTCCAAATGCCTTATGGGTAGATGATGTCACTACCAGGTCACGCTGAGGAAGACTCCGAGGGTCAGAGAGGCGCAGTGACTCTGGAATCCTGAGCAATGGAACAAAAGTCTGACTTCAGGCTGAGAGGTGTGCTGTCTAGTCAGGGCAGTAGCCAAGACATTGGTTCGTTCTCACACCTGGGGGAGGGTCTTCACCCCCTTCCTTCTCCCTAGGTTTCCTTTTTTTGTTTGTTTTGTTTTGTTTTTTTGGCTCATCTGTGAGAGCTGCCACCAGGGGTCACTGCAGGACCAAGGCTCATCTGGCCTCAGTGCTGACTGCTCCTGCCTCATCTCCCTGTGTGGGGCCATGAAGCTCCCATGACTGAACATGCTTGCTGTATGTTCGTAGGAAGCAGAGTGGAGCGTGATCTGATCGCACTCACGGCGCCCTCTGTAGGTCACATTAGGCACTGGCTTCCCCGTGGAGCCTGAGAGCCGAGTCTTGGCTTCTGACTTTGGGGTAAAGCGGACAGCAGCAGCAGGAAGGGATGCTGGATATGAGGAAGTGGACGAGGGGTCCAGTGTGAAGACACAGGCATGTGCTGCTGCTGCTGCTGCTGCTGCGATGGTGTTGATGCTGATGGTGATGATGATGATGCTGGTGATAGCTGAGATGGTCAGATGGATGTGATGTCCGTGGAGGTGGCGGGGATGGTGATGGCGGTGCGGGGACGCGGGTGGTGATGATGGTTATGATGCTGATGGTTAGTGATCGTGGTAGGATGGCGATGGTGGCGATGGCCATGGTGTCGTGGTGATGATGGTGGTGGTGGTGGTGGTCCTGATGGTAATGGTGAGGTGCTGATGATGATTGTGGTAATGGTGGATATGATGATGGTAGTGATGGCGGTGTTGATCAGGGTGATGGTGATGGTGAAGATGATTGTGATGCTGGTGGTGACAGTGTGCTGGAAACCTCTCTGTCTGGCGAGTTTTCTGCCTCTCCCAGCCCTCTCCACGTAGCTCCCGGTTTAGTCTTCAGAAGATTAGGAACTCTTCGTTTCCAGGGGAGGAGTAGGAAGTTCAGAGACACTGAGTAACTTCTCAGGAGGCTGCGTCGGTGCACGGGTCAAGAGTGTAACGCTCCAGGTTGAGGCCTTCGCTTTACGCCTGCGGCCTCTCTTGGAGCCGCGAGCTTGTGGCGGTAGTGGTGGGTGAGAATAGCGGGTTCCTTGCAAACCTAGTGCAGTCCCTCCCCGTGTGACCTCACTCGTTATAGCCCAGTCAGCTCCTTTACACAGAGAACTGAGGCCCTAGCAAGGAAGAGCCCCTCCTCCCCTCCTGCTCTGTATCCGGGGATTTGAACCAAGAAAGCTTGGTCTAAGCTGAATGCACAGCCACCAGGGATCCCTGCCAAGGAGGGCACAGAGTCTCTGGGTGACTCATAGGAAATAGAGATCAGCCTGACTTCCTGTGTGTGGCTATGGGCAAGGGGGCGGGGGGAGAGAACAGCGCCTCAACTTCCGGCCTACACCGCTCACGCTGTCCCTTTCCCTGCAGCAACAGTTGGAGGAGGAGGCCGCCAAACCACCCGAACCCGAGAAGCCCGTGTCGCCACCTCCCATAGAATCAAAGCACCGCAGCCTGGTCCAGATCATCTATGACGAGAACCGGGTACGACCTGCAGGAATGAGTCACCTGGAACCATGAGTCCCTACCACAATGGAGGCTGGCGAGCGGGTGGGGAGGGATGGCCCACGGGCCACGCATAGCATACGTGTCAGGCTGGAGGAGAGCGAGGGGGCCTGCACCTCGTATCTGCAGATCCAGTGACACAGTTGGTAATGTTCTTACTGGGAGTTGGCTGCCTGCCTGGTCCTAGGAAGGTGTCCGTCATAGGCAGTTCCATCTTACACAAGGAGAAACAGACCCAGAGACGGGGCATGGCGTGTTCAGAGTTACACAGCCAGGATGTGGTAGCTATGGGATTTGAACTGGGCTCGTGAGCTGCAGAGCCTGATTCTCAGCCTTGGCCTCTGTTTCCACAGTCCCCTCAAGCTTGTGAGCTGTGACAGCCTGGTACCTGGTGGGCGGGAGGGAAGTTCCCCATCTCTTCCCCTCTCATTGGCTGAATCCGTGAGGAGCTTTGGGCTTTTGAGCATTGACTGCCTGGAGTCTCTGTATCTGAGAATGAGAAACCAAAGCCCAGAGAGGGAACCCGAGAGAGCCAAGGCTTGTGCCTCAGGCTCCATAGCGTGGGATGTAGGTAGGTGTTCTTTATTGCTTAAGGAAGATCCTGGGGCTTAGAGAGGGCAGGGGACCTGCCTGAGATGGCACAGCAGGTTAGATTTCGGCCTGGGACTTAGAAGCCAGGTTGAACTTGCTTGACTGTGGTGGAGGTGGTCAGAGAAGTGTGGTTCTCTCCAGCTGTGGTGGACACATGTTCCTGCTCTCTCTCTTAAGGGAGGTCCCTCTGCTCTTTCCCTCTAGTCCTGAACCCCATCCCCGCCCCCTACCCCTGTCCTCGTGCTAGCTAAGGCCTGTATCACGCCAGTTACAGTAGGTGCTTGGAGTTGGCAGGGGCCCCTGGGGATGTGTAACACCCTCATGTTTGTCCCTCTGCCTGCACTGAGCCTGGAGCTGGCTCCCCAGCGTTCCCTGAGGAATGGCAGGGCCTAGCATTCCCTGCGATCAATAGGATTACATTTTAATCCCCCTTCCTTCCCGAAAAGAGGCAAGACAGGGGCTTGCCTCCAGTGTTTCTGTGGTCAGGCAGCCCAAGGTCTTGTACATCTGGAACACATCTGTCCTCAAGGCCAGCCAGTGGCTATTCCACCTCCTGGGGAGTCTGTGGGCATCTGTGGGTGCAGCCGCTGGAGGAGGGGCGTGTCAGTCATGGTGGAAAGGGGACTAGACTGGGTACGAGGGGGACTGGATGAGAGGGACCTCGGCGTCAATCTTCAGAGCATGCTCTGCCTATCGCACCTTGTCATATACATGGCTGTGCATGTGTGTGTGACAGGTAGAGGGGGTCACCATGCATTTACATGCCATACGCTTCATGTCTGCTTAGCACGTGTAGCTACGTGTGCACAGCCTGGGCTCAGGTGGACATGCGTGTAGTCTGAGAGTGTTGGTCTAGATGCTATGGCTTGCCTGTGGCATCAGGGCATTGTGCAGGATGTGATGGTGGCTGCTGAGGACTTGCTGGCCCCACCTGGTCCCAGAGTCCCTGGCTGTGTGGCTCTGGATCCCGCAAAATGCCATGGAACCCCTGACTTCTCCCTTGTTCTCTGGGCACGCTACCTGGTGGCCTCAGACAGTGGTGTCCCTCTCACTCCGTTCAGATACCTGTGTGCTTATAGTCAGAGCTGGTCTCCAGAGCTGGTCTCCTCTCCTCGATTGTGTGTCTGTGTGACCCCTGACCTTTGTCTACAGATTGAAACTGTTCTACTAGACCTCCAAGCTGCCCTACTCACCCTTGGGTGAGGCCAGCTTAGCTCTAATGAGTACGTACCAGCATCTGCAGTGAGCTGGTCTTTTCTCCACATAAAGATGCCAGATAATAGTGTTTAGGAAGCTGTTGTGTACCCGGGCTGGCGTTGGTGTGGTGGCCAGTCCGCTGTCTGTCAGCGTGTGGGGGAAGGTAGGGAACCAGGCTGAGAGGTGACTTGGGGTCAGGCTGGAGGTCCACTAAGAGCCCTGTGGTCCTGTCTCGGAGCAGCTGTGAGAGACTCAGTTAAGCCTGGGCAATGCCGCTGCTGTCTTGTTCCCTGGCAGGGCAGCTGCCGCCCTGGGGTTGCCTTCCCCTGGCAGGCAAGCACACTGGTCAGGTGACGGTGGTCTCAGGGATTTGAGGGAGTCGAGCCCTTTCTGGAGAGGCAGGTAGATGAAGCCTGGCAGGACGCTGGGACGTCATGGCAGGGAAGAAATGCCAGGAAGTGGCTGGACCTGTGGTGTCTGGGAGCAGCAGGGTCCACGTAGCTAGGCTCCAGCCATGTTGGCTGGGGGATGGGCGGCTTCAGCTTCCAGGGTGGCAGAAGATGGTGAGGGAGGGGGTACAGGGGAGTTGGGGTGGGGAGTGGTATGAGAGGGAGTGGGCCTGAGGCAGTCACCAAGGAAGCCAACCTTCTTGATGTGTCCCCCAGTCCCCAAGGAGAAACAGCAGACTTGCCACTCAGCCCCTCCCCTACATCCTATACAAGCTGTAGGTCTAGCCACTAGTGGGTATGGTTTACAGGGCACAGGGTCCTAGGAACACTCCCCCACCCCCACCCCCCAGATCCAAGACTGCTCCAGCTGTATAAGCACAGTTCCTGGTGGCCCCCGCTGTGTTAAGTGCCACCCCTTTTGCCTAAGCATAAAGCTGGTGCTAATTCCCACAGAGCTGTCACACACACACACACACACACACACACACACACACGCACACACACACTCGAGATCCCATTCCTGAATCGATATTACTGGCTCAGCGGCCCTGAGCTTGTGCCCTGACCACACCCTGAGGCTGCTGGTCTCAGGGTCTCAGCTCTACCCAGAAGAGCCAAGAGTGGACCTTAGCACTCGGAAGACATTGGTCTGCTTGCTAGCTTGAGCCCACCCCACCTCCACAATCCACTTCCCCCGCCTGGTGCGGGTGGGTTGAGATGTCTGCCCTTGGGCAGCTCTACAGTGAGGGATACAGCTCTCAGGTGATGATACTGACTTCAGTGGACCCTTGAATTTTCTTTAGCACCTGCCTGGTCACTCTGCTTTCTGGTATAAGGGTTCCACCTCTATGCCCTGCCCCCCCATTCTAGTCCTTGTCAACTCTCTTCACTCCCTGCTTCCTGTGAGTCTGCCCTGGTGGTCTCAGTCTGGGCAGCCAGCCAGCGGAGGCACAATGTCGTCTTCATGTGTTGGTCTGACAGGAGAGATCCAGCCTATTGAGGGGTGCCCCCACAGTCATGGGGCCCTCTGCAGCACGCTTCTGTTTTCCTAATGAGGCCTGGTTTGTAAAGGGAGGGGATAGAGGCCAGAAATAGTCACTCTGTTGTGAGACAGGATCCTAGAAGGCTCCGGTGTCCCCTCCCACTGCTCTGGCTCTGAGGTCAGCAGACACCAGAGGCATCCAAGCCTGGCAGAAGGTAGCCTGGTTAGCCATGGTCAGATCCCGAGCTAGTGCCAACCAGAGAGGGACTGGGGTTTCATGCAGGGTTGACTGGGGTCCTCCCTGCAAATAGGGCTTTACCCTCATTCCCAAGGTGCTGGTTCCAGTCTGCTCAGAGTCCTTGTTTAATTCTGTTCTTCTCTTTGTCCCACAGAAGAAAGCCGAAGCCGCACATCGGATCTTGGAAGGTCTGGGGCCCCAGGTGGAGCTGGTGAGCCAGGCTTGGGTGGGCGGCCGTGGGAGGGGCGGGGTAGAGGAACGGGCTGGGCAGCAGGTGTTGGGGGAGTGGGAGTGGGAAGAGGAGGAAGTCATCTACTGGCTAGCACTGTCCCCAAAGGGAGGCAGGAAGCAACACCTCCTGATAAGGGCGCTGGCAGATAACTCTTGAACGGCAGCTGGGCAGTGAGCCTGTCCCTGCCTCTGAAGCCTGTAGCCCGCCCTCCACGTTAGCTCTTCATGAGAGTCCATCCCACGGTTGGCTTGTCTGGACTCCCTTCTCTAGGCCTGATGGCTGTGAAATCCTCTGACTTCTCAGTGCTGCTGCCTGCCCGGGGTGGGAAGGGCGGCCATGACTGTAATCATTGTTACCATTGCCCTGCTGGTCTCAAGTGTGTCACAGCAGGGTTGGAAAGCAGCCCCAGCCTCGGGGATCTGCTGGAGTGGATGGGGCAGAAGTGCCCCACCCCCAAACCTGCACCTGATGGTGTAGCGTTGGCTTATATCATCCACAGGTGGCACAAGTGTTGCTGGCCATTAGTGTACAGGGTGTGGGGTGTGCATAAGCACCCTTGGGGTGTAGATGAGTCCTGGGTACTGCGTGCTTGCTGAAGACTGTAGGGAGGGTACCTTCTGGCCAGGTCTTGTTCCTAGAGAACCTAGGGTAGATAGATGGGTGCTGGGCTCCTCTGCTGCCTGTGGTGGGCTCTACGACCCCTTCCCGCACCTGTGCCCTGGGCAGGGCTGCTGTACGCCACCGGGTCTCTCTCCCTTCCTTCATACACTAGTCACTGAGCTGTGCCATCCGCTGCATAGTTTGTCTTTCCAGATGTGTATGATACCAAGGTCCAAAGGAGCCCTGTGTCACTGTTCTTGGTCCTTCTGGACGTTTTCTCTGAATGGAGCCAGGCAGTCTGTGACCTTTTGTTCTCTCTCGCTGTTTTGCCTCACCCCGCCCCCAGCATTGGTGCTTTAGGTTCTCCTACACAGAGGCTTGTGTTGGTGCTTCATCTTTTCAGGGCTGCATCATATTCCATTGTTTCTGGACTGCATTTTATCTTTCCATTTTCAGTTGATGACATTGGGTGTGGCTTTTTGCCATTTGTCAGCTGACAATAAAACCACACCACAAGAGTAGAAACAAGCAGCGGTTATGTCTCTTGAGTCTGTGCTTGGGAATAGAATTGCTGTCTCCTGTGTTGGTTTTTCGGTTTGTTTGTTTGTTTGTTTGTTTGTTTGTTTCTTCTCCTTTGGAAATCCCTGGCTGGTTTTTAAGTTCCCTTCTCCATTGTATAGCCCCATTAATGAGTGTCTTGCCTCTGTTTCCCCCTTCTGCCATCCTGTCTAGATTCAAGGGGTGTGTTTGTGTGTGTGTGTGTGTGTGTGTGTGTGTGTGTGTGTGTGTGTGTGTGTATAGGGCCTGTGACCTTTTTGCCCTATGGGAGAGAAGGTAATGTCTGTTGCTTGAGCTCATGGTAGCTGGTCCCTGGAGATTTTGTCTGCCCTGGGGCATTGGAGGCATCCATGGCCTGTAGTAAGGACAGAGAGGTCACCTGCTGAGAGGCACTTGTTGGGCCAGGTCTTTGGGTGTTACCACCTTTCTCGTTTTCTGGAAGAGGATCCGAAGGGTGGTGCTCTGCCCAGCACCACACAGAGAGAGATGAAGGAAGAAGTGCGCCCACCTGTGAGTGTGGCCTGGTCTTCCCAAGGCTTCTACCTGTATGTAGGGCCAACAGTGTACTGCACCTTCCTGGGTACTGCTGATCTGGGCTTTGGTCATTGAGGCACCTTGAATTCTGGTGCTGTGATACAACACTTGGACCAAAGGCGACTTAGGGAAGGAATGAGTTTATTTTAGCTTCTAAGTTACAGTCCATCGTTGAGGGAAGTCAGGGTGGGGACTCAGGCAGAAACTTAAAACAGACACCATGGAGGAACACTCCTTTTCTGCTTTCTCATAAGTTCATTCTTAGCTTCATTATACAACCCATAACTGCTTGCCTAGGGAATGGTGCTGCCCACAGTAGATTGGGCCCTTCTGCATCAATTCACAGTTAAGCCTCACCCCTACCCTCACCTCCCCCCCCCAAAAAAAAAACCAGGAAACACGCGCCTGTAGGCCAGTTTTATCTAGGTAATTTTTTAATTTAGCCTTTTCTCTCAGATGACACTAGGCGGTGTCAGGTTGACAATGAAAGAGAACTAACTAGGAAAGTCAGGGGTCTCCCCTCCTCAGTTACTGAGTACATCGGGAGTGTTGGCATAGCAGTGACAAAGTAGTGACCATCTTGTCCTGTGTACCCCAGAGGGAGGTGGGGGCTTCAGGAATTCCGCCTTGGGAGCCTCCCATGGCCCCGAGTGTCCCAGGAGGGCCCTGTGCTGGGCAGGGACCAGGCTGGCCAGGTGGGAGGCTGTGCAACTCTGAGTCACTTGCTTCCTTCCTGCTCTGAGGTGTCATTCTGAGAGCTCTGTGTCCCCATGGGCTGGGTTTGGTCACTCCAAAAGCTGGCTTGCCGCCCGTCTGAAGGGCACCCACGCCCATGGCTGTCAAGTGCTCCAGTTTGCGGCTCTAGCTGTTTGTCTTTAATAGAGAGGGCAGCCATGCCCCCCTTGCAGCAGATGCAAGCCTCCAGGTGTCCTTGTCCCTCCCCGGGATCAGTCCTCTGCCCCTGTCAGGGTGTTACCGGGTGCTGAGCCTAAGGGTCTTCCCTGGTGGCTTCCCTATAAGATGCAGCAGTGCCCCTCAGTGCCGAGGCCCAGAGCTTCCTCCTTATTCTCCAGGAGACAGGTTGGGGTCTGCCCCCTTGGGCGTGGGTGTTCCCTTTGCCCTCCCATGCTGGAAGCACATTTTATTCGATGTCCCAGCTGGGGGTCAGTGGATCTGAGCGAGCCTCCACCCCTTCCTGCCCCAGTAGGGCTGTTCACCATCTTTGAAATCAAACAATGGCAAACTGTCAGTACATCTGGAATGATCTGGGTTATTTGCTTATCCTGTGAGACAGGCCCTCTGCCCTGCACCCATTTTCTAGATGAGGAAATCCAGACTTAGGTGTCACTGGAGCCCGAGTCCTTGAGCAATGCCCATTCACATTGGCATTTGTTTTATTGGCATCTGGGGAAACATACAGGATTGAGTATCATTGCCCTGGGTACCAGGAAGCGGCATCTTCATAGGACCCTGTACCCCTGAGATGTGGACATACAGCATTCTTCTGCAGTGTCAGACCCTCCCTTCCCACTAGGCAGCTGTGCTATGAGTCTGGCTGCCCATTCTCTTGTTTTCTATACATTCTTCCCCATTTCCACTAGGGATGCTGCCCCGTTTCAGACTCTGAGCCCATAGGAGGCCCTGGTCCATGGTCTTTCATCACCAGGAGAGCAGTTGAGCCTGGCTGTCTGAGCCATAAGATGCAAAAACTGGTGTCTAGGATGCTGGCCTGGGTGCAGGTGACCTGCCTTGTCTCTGAGCAGTAGAGGACCTTTTGGGGAAAGGATGCTGGCACGATTCCCATGCTGGTCCAGAGTTGTGTCCGCCACCTACGGAAGTTTTCCCCTTGGAGCCTTGTGTGTCTCTTCTCTACCCAGAGACCAAGGATGTCACAAAGTTCTTGAAGGCGTGACTGCACAGGAAGGAGAGGGCACAGAAGGAGGCAGGCACGGGGACACAGCTGGGGGAATTCAGAGTCCTCGTGGGATGGAGTTCAGGCCATGGCCGTGTTTGGCAATCGGCCTCAAGCTTCCCATCTGTGCAGTGGGTAGCGACTGCCACATGAGTCTAACAAAGCAGCAGGCTCAGAGCAGCCTGACACCTGCACCCTTGTCTCTGGAAGGCAGCAGAGACCTCTGGGAGGTAGTGAGTAGGATTTTGTTCACCTGTGACCTCTTCATGTCCTTCCAGTAGGCTGTGTAGAGTCCGTATCATGGGCAGAGGAAGCTGTTGCACGGAGGATACAGACCATACTGCCCAGCCTCTGACTCACTGCGGGTCACATGACTGCTCACTGCCCTTGCTCCGTTCTCCCTGCTGAGGGAGCCTGTGGTGTCTTCAGCCCTAGGCCCACTCTTGTCTGACAGACATTTCTTTAATTTATATCTGCCACTACCATGGACACTGTGTGCATATTTGTGTCTATGACCAAGGACCTGTTGTGCATCTGCATCTCGGGCCAACTTCCTCTTCCCAGAGGAGACGCCTTGGTAGTCTCTTGTAGGACCGTGGGGGGAGAGGTCACTTCTTGGCACTTGTAGCTGGGCTCTTCAGAAGCTGTGCGTCTGTGCCTGCCACCTGCTGCCCTCAGCTTCTTATTCTTGATTTGTTTTGGTCTCTGTGGTCCAGGGAAAGATGCTTTGCTATCACTAGGGCTGTAGGTTTCCATGGTGATCTAGATGTCAAGCCAACACTAAGCATTTTGCAGATAAACTACTTTGCTTAGGGTTGAGGCCGAGTCGAGGCCAGGCCTGGTCTCTGCAGATGGACCCTAGAGCCAGCTACAGCCTTTTCCTGGTCAGGTCCTGCTTCTCCCTGTGTTCTTGGTTGCACTCCCAGCCATACATCTGATTATTCAGCCAGTGGACAGCTACTGGTGCCAGGGCTGCAGAGTCTGGGGCTGGGGTCTCTGTTCTAGCTGGTGACACTAGCCCACCACACCCTGTCACCCGTCCCATCCATCTCTGACATGTTTCTTCTTCCTCTCTGCAGCCTCTGTATAACCAGCCGTCTGACACACGCCAGTACCATGAAAACATCAAAATGTGAGTCACTGTTACAGGGTACCAGCCCAGTCCTGGGGATCAGGAGACCAGTGGGAAGTCTGGGTGGAAGTCCCCGGCTGAATCAAGCCTGCACACTGGCCTCAAAGCAGGCCTGGAGCAGAGGGAGTGGCACCTTGCAGTGGGTACAGAGATTGGAGGCAGGAGGCCATGGTGTCAAGAGACAAGCTGTGCAGGGGACAGCCAGCTCCAGTACTCTTAGCTGTGGGCTGCTGTCGCGCCCACTTGGTGTCTGAGGCAGCTTGAAGCAGTAACCCAGAGGCTTCTCAAGCCGTGTCCCGGTGATGGGTCGTTTCCCAGAAGGAGGTTGAGAGGAGATAATGTCTCTCTGGTTCCATACAGTGGGGTGCAGCAGCGATGCCAAGCTGTGTCGATGTCTTTAAGCTGGAGGGGGTGTGTGGAATGGCTGTAAGGTAGCTACTAGCTTCCTGGCATATTTGAGTGGTAGGGGCTCCCGGCCATGGGCTGTGGAGGAGTCAGATCTCAGCATCCAGTAACTAAAAGGTGGGAGAGGCCTGGAGCACATGGTGGTGTGTTAGGTGTGGGGAAGGCTGGAGGCAAAGGCCCAACTCTGAGTGGTCACCTTTGCCACAGTGGGAGTGCTCGGACACTGGCTGGTGGCATTGGGGAGCTCAGTAGGTGGTGATACAGTGATCTGGTCAGTGTCCTGGAAGCTAGTGTCCCTCTTGGGTCTCAAGTGTCACAGATACAGGAGGCCTCTGTATGGCTTTTGGAGTTGTGTGATGTCACACCCTGGCCACCTCCTGTGTCTCCTGGAATATCTTTCCTAGCTAACCGTGAGGGCCCTGTACTGGCAGTCAGTATTGGGGCCAGCTGCTGCCATGGCTGTCTGAGTTGGCTGTGGTCCTATCACTGCCTCGGGCCTGAGTTCTGCTTCTCTGTGTGGGGCCTGCCCAGCTGGCTCTGATCCCCATGGGGAGATGGGTTACAGGAGAGGGATGATGACAGTTCATTATAGGGGCTTGTCACAGTTGATTGGGAGCTGGGGGGGGGGGGGGATGTGCCACCAAGCCAGGCTACTAGTACATTCATTGACTTATTCATTTGCTCATTCATTTGGCCACTCACTCACTCACTGCTGTTGCCAGGTTCTAGCCTCACCCTGTAGAATCAGGACAGGAGAAAGCCTTACTCCCTGTTTGGGTTTTGACAAGCAGCAGAGAAAAGTAAGGGGCTCAGTAACAAAGAAAATCTCCGCTCGCTCGAGGCTTGCTCAGCCCTGGCCTTCATGACCTGACACTCCTCTGCTGGGTTTAAGTGTTGGGACAAGGTCTCACTGGATGGCCCTGGTTAGCCTGGGGCCTTCTGAGTGCTGGGATTCCAGGATGTGCTGTCATATCCAGTCTGACGTAGCCGGTGACCGTACAACAGACTGCTAACTTTGTGTAGCGCTTACTGCTTAAAGTAAGTGATGCTCATAGGGAGAGTCATGGCATGTTTCAGCTTATAGAGACAGCCACGGATCCAAGCCAAAGGGGTGTGTGCCCCGGACAGTGTAGGTGACATTAGCCATAGCTAAGCTGTGACCAGTGTCACCTGTGCTGACCAAGGATGGATTTGGAACGGATTTCTTTGAGGCCCTTTGCCTCCAGTAGATGCCGAATCTGTCTGGGCAGGGTGGCGTAGGCCTGTGGGCCCAGTGCTCTAGAGGCCTAGGGAGTAAAAGATGCAGGCAGGGCTACAAATGTGATAAGGGCACAATAGCCTTAAAACTAACTAAACAGGTAAATACCAGGATCCCGATAGCTTTAAAAATCTGCAAGCGAGTAAAGACAGAAGAAAGAAAAGTGGGGTGCCCCGGCCTTGAGCTGGTGCAAGTTGTTGTGGTGACCATCCAGCTGCATGATTCTAGCTATTAAGTCATAAATATGGCTCTGAGGGAGTGACCTTTCTTACGTCAGCAGCCAGTTTTCTGTTTAGTAAGTCCGTCTGTGAGTACATTATGATCTACGTCATGCTTAGGGAGTGCCGAGGCTTGCCGTAGGCACCATTAACATCATGGCCACTGTTGCCCATTTCAGCGTTACGCTGTTAAATCCACACAGTCTTTCACTGTGAATGCTCCCTGAGAGGAGAGTAAACGGAGTAATAGGAGAGAAGGGGAAAGGGAGTCTGGCTAGAGACCAGGCCAGGATGTGCTGGGAGAAGCCTGAGCAGCTGCCGGGCTGTGTCGAGCATCCCAGGCAGATGGGACCAGCAGTGCAAAGGCCCTGGGGCCATGCCGAGCTGCTTGAGATTGCAGACTGCTGTAGCCACAGGCAGGATCAATCAGGCCCAGGAGGATGCTTCTTGTCCTTCCGGCTTGGTCACCATCTGCAAAGATGCGGCCTTTATTGTGGGGCGTGCTCTGCTGCGAGTTTATCTTCAGGTTCATTCTGATGGCCACTGGGAGAAATGGCCTGGGACACCGTGGGAAAGCCCTGAAGAGCTATGGGCGGTGAGGTATGGAAGGTCAGGGCATAGGGTCTAGGGTTCCCAGCCCAGCGCTGGTAGTATGTGGTGATTCAGTGCTGCCTCTTGACTGGTGCCACCACTCACTGAGGACCAAGACTTCAGCTGTAGCCATTGGCTCTGTCAGCAGCTCCTGACCGCATTCCTGCTGTGCAGGTGTGGTTCAAGGATGAGTCTGAGGGACAGAGAAGCCCGGGGCTGGGAAGCAGAGGCCCTGACAACTGTTTAGCTTTTTTATTTTTTAAAAACAGCTTTTGGGGGCTGGTGAGATGGCTCAGTGGTTAAGAGCACTGACTGCACTTCCAGAGGTCACGAGTTCAAAACCCAGCAACCACATGGTGGCTAACAACCATCTGCAATGATATCTGATGCCCTCTTGTGGGGTGTCTGAAGACAGCTACAGTGTACTTACATATAATAAATAAATAAAAATTAAAAAAAAAAAAGATTAAAAAAAAAAAACAGCTTTTGGACATAGTTTGTCTACAGTTTACCCTTTTAAAGTCTGCACAGCGGTTTTTCCTTGGTCACTTAGGTGTGATCCTGTCAGCATGGAGTCCTACCACAGTGTCAGGGAATTCTGTCTTTTTGCTTCTTCTGGTCAAGGGCTCCTTTAGTCTTCTGTGACCTTCCATGTTCTGGATATTTCTCATGGATGAGGCCTGGGCTGTTCCAGTGGCTCATAGTCCTGGAGTAGGTACAGGGGGCAGAGACCAGGCTTTGAGAGTGTGGATAGCATCCTCCGGTCTGAGATGTTGGGTAGCATGCCCCATGACACGATGACACTCAGGCCCCGGAAGCTGCTTGCAAGGAATGCAGTGTCTGTGTGACCTAGGTGAAGGGTCAGGAGCTCCCAGGCCTCCGGGGTGGATGAAGTCCTTGCAGAGGCCTGGGGGCTTTTGGGGTTACTGCCTAATTGGGTGAGAAAGATTCAGAATGGTCAGCCTCCTAGGGATTGTGGGTCACCAGGGGAAACAGGAGAATTCCCTAAAGGTGGAGCCAGGCCCTCTAGAGTCACGTGGCTGCAGGGACTCAGCTCTGATAAAAATGGACTGAGCGGTGTTGGGCTGGGGCTGTGCCTGTAATCCCAGTACTCAGAGGCCTGAGACTGTCCAGAGTGAGTTTTAAGTCTAGCCTGGGTGGTCTAGCAAGAGCCAGACAAACAGACAAACCCTGCATAAAACAGACACTGTCGTCAGAGCTGCTGATGGGGGTAGTGAGCGGCCTGTCACTGGGAAGCATGCAAGCCAAGAGTGCTATAGGGTGCTGTCTTTGGTTTGACCTGTGGCAGGTAGGGGAAGCTTTGGACCGTCAGTTGCCACTTGGAACCCCAAGATCTGCACAGTGTACATACTGCAGAGCAGGGTCTCTCCGCCATCTGTAAGGTGGGACTAGCCCTGGGGCCACCGAGGGCCCACTGTGTTAACTGCCCCTCAAGCTGCCATCTGTACCTTACGTGTGGGACTGGTGCTGGGGGATTTTGTTGTTCTTGTCTCTGAGCATAGAGACAGTTACTCCTCATTCCTTTGTTCACCAAACACGTCTCCGTGTGTCTGGTCTGCACCAGGCACGGTCTGTCCCTGGGAGATAGCAGTGAACGAGTCCCCACTTGCAGTGGGGAGATGGCAAGCACAGTACTCACGTGGAGTGTGACAGCTGTGACAAGGACAGTGAGATTGATCTGGGGGTTGCTGAGGAGCTCCACCACCCAGGGAGCAGAGCCGTCACCACTCCTTGGCTGTCTGCTGTAATTGCTGAGAGGTGGGAAGTGTCCCTTCCCTGGGGACCTGGCCCCTGTCATTTTAATTTCACTGCCTTCGTGCCTGGCCATGACTTTCAAGTTAATTTCATGCTTGGCTTCCTGGTGTGGGTGATTTCAGACCTGTGGAGGTCACCTGTGCATCGTTGCTGCCTGTCTCCCCTCCCCCCCCATCTTGCCCTGGAAAGTGTCAGTAGCAGCTGAGGTTCTGCCAGGGCATCTGCCACCTCGACTGGGAGCCTGTCCTCAGAGAATTAGACCTCTTAGACTCCCCACACAGGGAAGGCAGCCCCAAGGGCATGCTGGAGGAGAGCGGTGTGGGAGCATCCATGCCCAGATGACAGATAAGTACCAGAGCTTAGTAAGACGGGACTGGACAGCCACCATCCCGCCTGGGATTTGCCATCCTGCTTGGTCTCTGCCAGCACACACAGCCTTGGTCTTCGAGTGTCTCAGGCTCAGGAGGAGGCGCCTCTATTTTCCTAGGACCCTCGGCTCGCCGTCTCGTTTTCAGGATGGGCAGGAAGCAGGTTACTGGGAACATGTCTCTGGTCTTGCTCTGGAGGTTCAGAGGTGCCAAATAATCTCTCTGGGTCACACAGCCAAACCCTCGAGAGATTCAGTCCACACATCTCTGCTTCCCTGGCCTGGCAACCTCAGACAGTCCTGTTGCTTTGGTCTCCTTTGTCATAGTAGGCCCGGGCTTTTCTAGCACAGTTTCCAGCTTGAGCAGACATGGGTGGGGCTCCATCTAATTGTGCCCTGGTACAGTTGAGGTCAGACCCTTCCTGACCTTCATCTCATCCTGCCAAGCCCTTCCCCTCAACTGCCTTTGTTCAATTCCATGTTTGTAATGGCCAGCAGGCCAGCCGATTTCATGGACTGTTCATGGAAGGCCTCCCTTTGTCTCCCCACTCAAGTTGCTGTGTTTTGTGCGGCTGTGCTCATCAGGATTGATTGGTAGCTCCCCGTTCTTCCAGTAGAAGGGGGCTACATCTCTCTCTCTCTCTCTCTCCCCCTCCTCCTTCCTCTCCCCTTTCGCCTCCCCCCTCCTCCTTTCTCCCTTGCTCCTCTTGCTCTCTCTCAGCCCAGAATCTCCTCAGGCTCCCTATATAGTGCAGAATAACTGAACTTCTGATCCTTCTGCTTCTGCTTCCCAAATGGTGAGATTACAAGTATGGACCGCATTTTCATGTGGTGTTGAGGATTGAACCTAGGGCTTTGTGCTTGGTAGGCCGGCAACTCTACCCACCAAGCCATATCTGAGGTCACAGGCATGGGACCTCCAGGCTCTTACTCCAGGGGGATTCCTCACAGTGGGAGCTCTTGGTAGATTAGGGACCAGTGGGGAAGTTGGGGTTCCCTCACCCAAAAAGTGATGTAGCTATAAGCCCAGGTTAGAGAGAGCAAGTTCAGGGGTGTCTGTTTGTGTCTCCCACAAGACCCAGAGGTCAGTTGCAGTGCCTAGTTGAGTGTGTTAGGGCTGTGGGGGTAGGCATGTGTTGGGTCTTTGTTTCTTGGGGGGCAGGGTGGATGGAGCCCTGTCTCCTGACTCTGCTGTGCCTTGCCTCAAGATTTCTGTTCCCTCTTTGCAGTCTGAACTTTATCCTGCCCGCCTGTGTCTTTTTTTCTACCCTCCACCTCCATTTTCCACATCTTTGTCCATTCTGAGGTAAATCTCTGTTCTCTCTCCCTCCCTTTCCCTTCTCCCAGTTTCTCCCCCCTGCCCCTCTCTGACCCTGTTCCTCTCCCCATGTCTCTACCCTTCTTTATCTCTTTTCCTCTCAGAATCCCCCACCGCTTTCCTCAGTAGTACTTACAGGGCCTTGTGGGTGTGGTCAAGCTGGTGGAGCTTGGCAGTCTACCCAAAGCCGGAGACCCCTCGACGCCTTTAGCAACTCATAGGACAGGGTCCCCAGCCCGTAGCTGTTGGAATGCCCTTGCCACGTGACTCATTTGCCTCCGGGTAGCAAGAGGTTGAACTTTGTTGGTTGGTACCTGAGACTGTGATTCGGGGATGCGAATATTGCAGGTTGGCTGGAGTGGGAGCTCTAGGGATGATGGCAGGTAGAACTGGCAGCTCTGTGCAGCAGGGTAGGCTCTGGGGAAAATGGGGGAGTGGGCTCCCTTCTGATTGAGGGTCAGTGCTAATCAGCCTGAGCTCCTGCTGAGAGCTGGGATCTCCAACGTCCCTGTCTGTGCTCCTCAGAAACCAGGCGATGCGGAAGAAGCTGATCTTGTACTTCAAGCGGAGGAACCACGCGCGCAAGCAGTGGGTGAGTCCCGTCCCTATCCTGTCCCCTCAACGCACGGCCAAGCGGTGGATGAGCCCTGCCCTTCTCTGAGTCCTCATGCCATGCCCTGTCCTCCAGTGGTGCAGTAGGTGAGACCTGTGCCTCCATGGCCATCTAAGAGTCAGGGCCTCTTCAGCACATGCTATGCAGGTTCTGAGGTCCCTGTCCGCTCTGCAGCTCTTGGGGATGGGTGTCTGCGTCATGAGACAATGCTGTTATAAATGAGCCGCAAAGGCGGTGGCTGCTGTGGTCATTAGGACTCCTGACCCCCTTTCCCAGTCCTCTGGAGGGGGGAGCCATTGAAGCCAAGAAAGGGGTCTTGAGTGCACCACAAATGTTCCTCATGGGCTTCTGTGTTCACAGAGCTTTTAGAGAGCGGGGGTGGGGGGGGAGGGCTGAGAAGTGAGCTTTCCCCTCCCCCAGCCAGGTCCAGGCTCTGGAAAATGGGGTCATAGGAAAACAGCAAGGCCCTGGTCTATGGAGGTCGGTGCCCATCCTGCTTCCTGAAGTGGGGTGAAGGATGTGAGGGACCCCAAGCAGCTGTACTTTGACCCACAGAGGTCCGAGGCTAAGGGATGGAGGTCAGGTACCTGTTGCATCCCCTTAGCTGCCAGGGTTGGGAGTGACACCCTACCACTGTGCCTTTCCATAGTGCCGGAGGCTTTCCCTCCTTGCCTCCACCCCCCTTCCTGGGCTTTGCATGCAGGTTCTGCTTAGCCTTGATCCCATATCAGCTCTGAACCCGGGCTGGCTTTGGTGATGTCATCCATTTCACTCAAGACTAGGGCTACTGGGAGACACTGTGTGTGTCGTGGGGGCTTGGGGGGGGTTCTGTGAAGTTGAGATGGGAGATCTCAACTCTTTTTCACGTGACCCTTCCCTGGGTGTCAGATGGGGCTGCAAGGTGGTCCCTGCCTCCTTCTCAGGCTGGCCTGGTACTTGCCAATCTATTCAGCAGTGCCTAGAGCCTGTGGGTGTGTAGTAATCAGAAGGTGCAACTTCATTTCAGTGAAGCGGACTGATGGTTGAATTTGAATCGAGTGAAGAGACAGGGAGTTCCTCAGTCATGCGCCTTCAGCTGCAGTCACCGAGTGCCCACTGTGCATGTGGCTCCTGGCATGGGCTTCAGGAACAGAGTTTAATGCTCAACTTCCACCCCAGTCATTTCCTCCTCATCAGTGGGCGTGGTCCCATGCAGTGGGCGTGGTTTCACAGTTCCTTATTTCAGGCAGGGAAGCTGAGACAGAGAGGTTAGCTCATTGGCCCCATGTCACACAGCTGAGAAGTGGCAACATCTGGATTGGCACCGGGGCTGCCTTGTTCCTTAGTCTTGGGTAAACAAATCTTGCCTCGAGTAGTTTGGGGGCAGGATGAGGTACCAGATGAGCTGAGGAGGGGAAGGTGGCCTAGGCAGTGGAGGGAGAATGGCCCTGCTGACATACATGGAGCGAGAAAGGGTGAGCTAGTTGTGTGCAGATCTTTGCTGAGGGAGAGCATGGCAGGTGTAAAGGTCCTGGGGTCAGCGCTCGACAGAGGATTGTTGAGGTCCATCCTCACAGAGGAGCACCAAGTGCATTCATGATAAATGTGCCCTTAGTATGGGATGTGCTGTGCATTGGGCTACAGGGAAGGTTGACAGCATCAGGAGAGCGCCCTCGCTCTAAGATCAGGCTGGTCAGTGCCAGCATCACCATGTACACACCACAGTTTGGCAGGCCCCTGCTGCTGTTGGGTGTGGAGAAGGCAGACGTGGCAGTCCCCTCAACACCCTGCCATCCCATCCTGCCATCCCTAGATGGCACTCACAGCTTCTCCTGACCTGTGTCTGCCCTCAGCCATATCTACTGTCCCACGTCAGAGGTCCTTGTGGTTCCTGAAAGGAGCCAGTGGATTTGTGATGGGCTTGGAGTCATGAAGAAACTCTCCCTGACTCTGGGGACCTTGGGAGGGGGACCTGATCTTTGGAGGTGAGGGAAAAGCCTCCAAGTCCCATTGGCTCTGCAGCCCAGGTGGTCCACCTTAGGGGGGGGAGGAGGGAAGGCCTTTATGCTGCAGCAGGAGGAAGAGACACGAAGCGCACAAGAGAACCGCTTTGTTTTCTCAGTTTCCAGCAAGTCCTGGAGGAGAGGCTAGACAGTGGGCCTTCCCACTCAGCACTGCCACACTGCGCTGTCGTGACTCAGACCTTAGGGCCGAGGCCATTCCCTGGGAGCCTTTGGTGTACCCAGAGAGAAGCCTGCCTCACTTCTTCCTGCTGAGCCAAGTGTGCTGGAGACCAGTGAGCCATGTTCCTACCCAGCAGAGGCTGACAGACAGAGAGGTCTGCTTCCTCCCCTGGCCAAGCCCCCTCCCCATGAGCAGTGTCCTGCTGTCTCTAGACACTGGTTGTCAATGGATCCTAGTTCCACTGTGGACCAAGTGCACCCCCCCCCCCAGTAGATGAGACAGACTGCAGCAGGCCACACTGTGGTTTGACCTAGACAGAAGACTGTCCTGTCTCAGACAGTGCCGCACCCCTCCCTCAGGAGCTGCTTGGGCCTTTGTGCTGTTGCCTAAGGCTATGGAGCATGTGGGCTATTCCTGAGGTCTTGCGGCCCTGTTGCTAGTCTGCAAGGTCTGGGACAGCCCCAGCCCTCAGCTGGCAACTGACTGATGTCAGCTCTTGTGTCCTCTGCTGTCTCTGGCCTCTGGTCTCTGAATGTTCTCTCTCTTCTCCTTGGGCCTTTGGGTGGGAGCCAGGAGGCCTAGGCTGGACTGGTGGAGTGTGTTGTAACCCCCATGTCTCCCCCACATCTTCCCTCAGCTGAAGTCTAATACCCTGGGGGCTGTTGTTCAACTGGTTGAGCCACAGACACAGGGAGCTCCGGGTCAGAGGTTAAGCACATGGTGGCAGGTATCAGGGCACAAGAACTTATCAGGGTGTTATGTGACTGTGTCTCCTGTTCTTCTGTGGCCGATTGAGGCGGGAGTTTTGAAGTGATCCCCTTGGATATACACAGGGCATGTGATTGTGCTCTGGGCTGGTTGGGAGATATACAGCAGGCAGCTTGGTGGTTAAACAGGGAGGGGGACTTCCTCATCCTGCAGAGGAGGGCAGAACCTTCTTTTCAATGTCTGCTAGCTTTTGGAGTCTTAGATTTAGGGAGTGTGGCTGTACCAGAGACCAGGGACGAGGAACTGCCTAGAAAGCGGATATTCCCTGGGGACATCTTTTCTGGGCCACAAGAGCTCTACAGAGCCATGCTGCCCAGGACAACTTCCTGCAGTGGTGGAGCCTGGCTCGATCTGCTGTGCAGTGTCCATGGTAGCTAGTGTGAACACAGGGCATGAGCCCCGGTCTATCTGTTCAGGGCTGTTTTCTCATTTGGTTGTGTGACCGAGTGGGTAACTTGATGGGGCTGGAGGCCTCCGAGTCAGATGAGGCCCCTGTAGAGGAGGTCTGGCTCTGAAGGAGTCATATCCTGTGGGGCACCTGTGGCTTCCCAGGGGCCGGCAGCTCTGTGACTGTGACAGACTGGGTGTGTGTCCCTATCCCCCTTCTGTGCATGTGAGTGCAGTGGGCAGTATCCGGCCCTCACCAGCATGCCTCCTGGCCATGCCCCCCCCCCACAGGAACAACGCTTCTGCCAGCGCTATGACCAGCTCATGGAGGCGTGGGAGAAGAAGGTAGAGCGCATTGAGAACAATCCGCGGAGGAGGGCCAAGGAGAGCAAGGTGAGGGAGTACTACGAGAAACAGTTCCCGGAGATCCGCAAGCAGCGGGAGCTGCAGGAGCGCATGCAGAGGTAAGGGCACTGCCGGGAACAGCATGCGTAGGGGTGAGAGGGTGCAGCGCTCAGGGCCAAGCTGTGAGCCCACGCTAGGGAGAACACATGCAGGGGTGAGTGCATGCAGAAAGGAAAGGAAGTCCCGGAGGTGAGGGCACAGGGTTGAGTCCATGTAAGAAAATGCTCACAGGGATGAGCTCATAAGAGGTGACTACTGGGCTGGGCAGTGGTGGCGCACACCAATAATCCCAGCACTTGGGAGGCAGAGGCAGGTGGATCACTTGAGTTCGAGGCCAGCCTGGTCTACAGAGTGAGTTCCAAGACAGCCAGGGCTACACAGAGAAAACCTGTCTCGAAAAACTAAAAAACAAAAAAAGGTGACTACTGTGCTGGTTCACATGGGCCCCTGGTGGCCTGTGCCACACACGATGCCCTCACAGGGCTTCATACTTACAGCTAGGGACCCTCGGCACCCGCTAGGCCCAGAGCCATCACCCATGAGTATCGGCTTGCTGTCCTCACATCTCCCACCCCATACCTGCTAACGCTGCTGTGAGACTCTGCAGGGGAAGGGGGTGTTGGGAGGATGGCTGGGCCCAGCTCCAAGCTGGGTGCCTGTCCTCACTGTGGCTATGAGGACAGAAACCTGGGCAGGCTATTTCCAACAAATGAGGCTAGTTGGGTGTGGTCATCTGTATTCGTAGGCTCCTCAGGCTTGTCACCTCACCGACACACACAGCAACGTGAATTCCAGGGTTGACCTGAGGCCTAGAAACCTGCTCCTGGTCCTCAGGCTGGAGGCAGCATTGAGCTCCTGCTGGGTCTTCATCTTTAATTCATGGGAGATGGACTGCCATCTTGTAGTCCCAGGGGCTGGCATTCCTGAGCCGCTCCCCACCCTCCCTGGGCTCCAAGCCTATGGTCAGAGGTGAAGGTGGGAGGCTCAGCCCTGATCTCCCCTCTGAATTCACCCATACATGCCTTCTAGAATGTTCTACCCCATGGTCCAGGCCTAGCCTCTCAGTAGGACGGCTGGTCCTGACTGTGTCCCTCTGGTTTCCAGCAGGGTGGGCCAGCGTGGCAGCGGGCTCTCCATGTCGGCTGCCCGCAGTGAACATGAGGTTTCTGAGATCATCGACGGCTTGTCTGAGCAGGAGGTAAGTTCACAGTGACACTGCGTGCACCCCATTATCTTGGCCTGTCCCTCTCTATGTCCTTTACACATATTTCCTGCCATAGTGGGCAGGTGCCAGCAGGAAAGGAAGCCACCGGATGCTTTCGGTCCAGAGGCAGGTGATGGGCATGTGCCAGATGCAATGGGAGCACACCAGCTAGAAGTGGCCATGCCTGTCCCCCCAGAGGGCAGAATTGACAAGGATGCCAGCAAACTGTGGGAGGAAATAGTTTGGGGAAGTTCATTGATCTAAAAAAGTTCATTGATCAGGTCTCCAAGCTGAGTCCATGTAAAGCCTCTAGTGCCCAGAAGCGACATGGGGAAGCTGGGTTGTGGGACAGGTATAAATGCGCCTCACTCTTCTCCCGCTGCCGTGGTTTGGGGTCTCTGTTGAGCTTCGCAAAACTGTTAGGGGAGTCTGTCAGCGAGAGAAGGTGGGGTCAGCTGGGGACCGTCCTAGAGGAGCTTGCCTTCTGCCCCTTTGGTCCTCTCTGGGTACCCAGTGGCAATCTTGGTGACTCCAACCATGGTCACCATCACAGAGAAGGCCATGACTTAGAGCAGGTGCTTGTCCCCAGTGAGGGACCATTCTGCTCTCTGGGCCAGGTGTACAGTAATGACATTTGTCCCTGTGGCTGGCACTATAGTGGACCTAGAATGCTATGTACCAGGACCGTTGCTTCTTTCCTGGTGGCTGTGCTCTTTGGTAGAGGTGGCCATAGCACCTGTGTCCTTTCTGAACCTCTTGAGACTGTTTACGTGGAGACTTAAGATGGGCTACTGGACAGAGCAGCTGGTGACACCTTTGTGGCTGTGGAGTGACTATTTAAGCTGTTCTCCAAGCTGAGTCCCTGTCCATGTAGCCCAGGCCATGGAGCAGGGATGGCGGCTTATGTGGTCTCCTTGTGCACACCGACAGCCCCGTGTACCCAGTAGCCTTACCAGCTTGGGGCCTGCACCCCTCTGCAATGCCTGGCCTTGAAGGGACATCCTCTTGCCAGAGTTCTGCTGGAAAACCTCTCCTCCCCTTGTGGACAGAAAGCAGAACTCAAAAAATCCACAAGCGACAGCTGTGGGGCCATCCTTGCTGGCGGGCATGTGGCTGGGTTCAACCCCTGTCCCACCAGTGTGGATGCAGACATGGCTTTCATTTCCTCCGGAAGCAGGGAGACAGTGGCCCTGTCCACCCACACATTGGACCCTTCCCTAGGTCCTAACCACACAAGAGTGTTGTGGCTGCCACCTTTTGGGGGAGCCATTGCCAGAATAAGGCTGGAGACAGAGTCTGGGTCAGAACCAGAGGGTCCTGGGCAGGAGACACTTGTAAAGTCAGCAGTATCTTCCTAACATGGACAGGCGAGGCAGCCACAGAAGGGCAGGGCAGGCTGAGGCCCCAGAGGATGATAGAAAAGCCAGGGTGTGAGGCCTGGGCCAGGAAGTGACCGGGCTCTGTGCATGCCCTGTGCTATCCCCTGGATTTCTGGCTCCAAGCCAGTCATGTGCCATCCAGAGAGTGCGTGGAGCCAGGCTGGGCTGTACCCTGTCCCTAGCTTCACAGTGTTTTATTACACTGCCTCTGTGGGGGTGAGATTCATGGCCTCTCCTACTGCAGATAAGGCCTCATGCTTTGCACTGAATTTACAGCCCTTCCTTTCCTTAACCTCCCCACGCCTCTAAATCCTCGCCAGCGCCAGCCACTGCTGGCTTCTAATTCATCCTCCCTCCCCTAAGGACTGTCCAAGGGCCAGGGCACCCGTCCCTCACCTGCCAGGCCCTGCACTTGCCCTCTGACCCCACCCTGTGCTCTGCTGCAGAACCTGGAGAAGCAGATGCGCCAGCTGGCCGTGATCCCGCCCATGCTGTACGATGCGGACCAGCAGAGGATCAAGTTCATCAACATGAACGGACTCATGGATGACCCCATGAAGGTGTACAAGGACCGTCAGGTCACCAACATGTGGAGTGAGCAGGAGAGGGACACCTTCCGTGAGAAGTGAGTCCTCCCAGGCTGCCTGGGATCCTTGCCTGTATCTTCTGTGTTCCCACACTCCAGTCACTGGGACATTCTGTTCAGAACTCTCCCTGCCCTAGTGGTACGGGGTTGGGGGGTCCTCAGCCTCTCTCTGCCTCCATCTCCATGGGAGTCTTAGGTAATGGATACGTATCTCCTTGTCCCTCCTAGCATTCATTCAGCCAGACAGTTGCCACCACGTAGGCGCAGAGAGGTGAAGACGCCCAACAGGGACCCAGAGCTGCATATGGTGGAGGCTGGGTTCACCTGGCCAGCTGGAATGGAGAGGCAGTGTGGGAAAGCCAGGGCTTCAGTCATCAGAAGCAGGCTGTGCTAGCTAGGAGATGAAGCTCGGCTGGGTGTGGCAGCCACGCCTTGTATCCCAGCACCAGGGAGGCTGAGGCAGGGACATCTTTTCCACTTCCCAGCCCAGCTTGATCTACACAGTGAGACCTGTCTCAAAAAGTGGGTCTCTGGGAGGCTCCTCCAGACAGTTTGGGGGAGACAAGTTTGTAGCTCCTGGGTAGAAGAAAGACTGTTTCAGCCCAGGGTGAGGACCTGAGGTGTTGTCTCCAGGTAGAAAGAGACATCCCCCCCATTCAGGGGACCCCAGAAGAAGTGGTGGTATAGATGTCACAATAATATTCTTAAGTATATCATTTGGAGTGGTACCTTGTAAGCACTCCACCTAGAAGCAGAACCCCTACCTCAGAGAGGACCAGGACCCCTGAGAGGCTGGAGTGTAGAAATTGAAGCAGGGTCAGGCCCCGGCGTGTTGCCCAGGAGGACCTGTTGAGAGGAAGGTTCTTATGCAGTAGGCCTCCATTGAGCAGAGGGGCTGACCTGTTTTCCCTCCAAAGAGACCCTGTCTGTCCCAGAGCTTTTCCAGATGTCTACTGGGGGAACAGTTATCCAGGGTCAGGCTGTATCTGCCCTTGGAAGGATACTGTTCAACAGGCTAGCCCCATCCCAGATCCCAGACAAAGCTGGGTGGCTGCACGGGGCTTGGGCACAAGCGACAGACAGTCTTCAGAGTAGCTTTTGGCCATGGAAACACAAAACGTCCTCTGAGTGCGTCTCATGTCCCTAGCATGGCACAGGCAGTGGGAAACATACCCTGAGGAGCTGCTCCCACGAGCAGCTCGGGTCAGGGGCTCGGTCCTTCGTCTTTTCGTGGCCTGTATCTAGGACTCTCATGTCTAGGACTTCTGTTCTCTGTCTGGTGTGTCTTACAACCTGACTTAACGATAGTGGTCCTGAGGCAGCTGTGACCCTGTATATCCCAGTCTCCTGGTAGGCTTACCGTTTTAATGGGTGAACACTTAGGGGGTATTTTCGTGGCTGAACCTTCCTGGGGTAGTCTCATTGCTCTTCAGACCTAGTGATTTACTCTGATAATTCCATAGCTGACAAACCGATGACCAGATGTCTACTGGTGCATCTTCTGTCTACGCAAGACACAGCCATATTATGTCTTATCTTTGAAGGATGATGGTCTCCCTGGAGGGCTTGCTTGCCAAGATGCTGACGGGCATCCAGACTGACCTGGGAATAACGCAGATGTCACTCACTGACCGCATGGCCATGCACAAGCCAGCCTCAGTTTCCTCCTGTGTAAAATAGCCATAGCTATATAGTATCCTCCTTGTGCCTATGGAAACTCCAGCTCAGTATAGGCTGGGCTCTTGTGGGAAGCAGTCTTGTACTGCTGGCAACCACTTCTGCCCCAACGGGAGAAGCTAGGACACCCTGCCCCTTCTGTGAAAAGGTGATGATTTGTATAAGACCTGGGAGTCCCCATTCTTACCGAGGGGTCAGTCACAATACCAGATTTAATGGAAGTCCACATGAACAGTTGTTACTTGGTGTTTTTTAGGGGACACTAACTCAGGAAGGCCAAATACAGTTTGCATAGGCCCAGGTGGTGTGTGTGTGTGTGTGTGTGTGTGTGTGTG